AGTGACTAAATACTATTTTGTGAGTTTAGCAGTGTGAATGCTTTTGTTTTGGCACAGTATATAGTTTCAGTATTGGAGTATCACAGGATTCATTATATTAAGACTGAGATTAATATTTCTGTTTACGGTCAAATGGCACACACAGCTCACACACTGAGGTCCGGAGGTCGATTAACCGGTACGGCTGAAAACATTGGGACGTGTTCCCATGAGGCATCTCCTGTCCATGTTGACCCCTCAGTAAAATGGGTACCTGGGTGTTAGTTGACTGGTGTGGGTCGCATCCTGCGTAACAAGGGTCTTTCTATATTGTAGTATGTCATTGTTGTCAGCTATGCTGATAACTTGTACATGTATTCAGAATATAGTATGATTATTAAAAACTAAGGAGTAACGCCGCTAAGATTTGTCATAAAACCGGGCGGGACAACCCCCAATATAACTTTAAAAATATGCCTTTAATTATTCAGTTTAAATATATTTATTAGGGGGAAAATAACACTGGAAATTCTTTCCCAGTGACAGTGTATAAATTTCTTAGTAAAAGACTATTGTAAACTTGGAACTGCACGAAGTGTATCACGCAAGGGTTCAGAGCCGAACTTAAGCATAGGGAAATTAAAAAAACTCTAAAAATTTGAGAGGCTCATTCAGGCTGTGAGGCCCTAAGCTATAGGTCGTTTAGTGGGGTTAGTCACCCGGTACACATCTCAGTGAAGGTAGTCACCCGGTACACATCTCAGTGAAGGTAGTCACCCAGTCAATTCAGAGTATCACCTGGTACACATCTCAGTGAAGGTAGTCACCCGTACACATCTCAGCGAAGGTAGTCACCCGGTACACATCTCAGCGAAGGTAGTCACTCGGTACATATCTCAGCAAAGGTAGTCACCCGGTACACATCTCAGTGAAGGTAGTTACCCGGTACACATCTCAGTGAAGGTAGTCACCCGGTACACATCTCAGTGAAGGTAGTCACCCGGTACACATCTCAGCAAAGGTAGTCACCCAGTACACATCTCAGTGAAGGTAGTCACCTGGTACACATCTCAGCAAAGGTAGTCACCCGGTACACATCTCAGCGAAGGTAGTCACTCGGTACATATCTCAGCAAAGGTAGTCACCCGGTACACATCTCAGTGAAGGTAGTTACCCGGTACACATCTCAGTGAAGGTAGTCACCCGGTACACATCTCAGTGAAGGTAGTCACCCAGTACACATCTCAGCGAAGGTAGTCACCCAGTACACATCTCAGCAAAGGTAGTCACCCAGTACACATCTCAGCAAAGGTAGTCACCCAGTACACATCTCAGCGAAGGTAGTCACCCAGTACACATCTCAGCGAAGGTAGTCACTTGGTAAACATCTCAGTGAAGGTAGTCACCCAGTACACATCTCAGCAAAGGTAGTCACCAGTACAACATCTCAGCGAAGGTAGTCACCAGTACACATCTCAGCGAAGGTAGTCACCCAGTACACATCTCAGCGAAGGTAGTCACCCAGTACACATCTCAGCGAAGGTAGTCACCGAGTACACATCTCAGCGAAGGTAGTCACCCAGTACACATCTCAGTGAAGGTAGTCACCGTACACATCTCAGTGAGGGTAGCCATCCGGTACACATCTCAGTGAAGGTAGTCACCCAGTACACATCTCAGTAAAGGTAGTCATCTGGTACACATCTCAGCGAAGGTAGTCACCCAGTACACATCTCAGTGAGGGTAGCCATCCAGTACACATCTCAGTGAAGGTAGTCACCCGATACACATCTCAGCAAAGGTAGTCACCCAGTACACATCTCAGTGAAGGTAGCCATCCGGTACACATCTCAGTGAAGGTAGTCACCCAGTACACATCTCAGCAAAGATAGTCACCCAGTACACATCTCAGTAAAGGTAGCCATCCGGTACACATCTCAGTGAAGGTAGTCACCCGGTACACATCTCAGTGAGGGTAGCCATCCAGTACACATCTCAGTGAAGGTAGTCACCTGGTACACATCTCAGCAAAGGTAGTCACCCGGTACACATCTCAGCAAAGGTAGTCACCCGGTACACATCTCAGTGAAGGTAGTCACCCGGTACACATCTCAGCGAACTTAGCCACCCGGTACACATCTCAGTGAAGGTAGTCACCCGGTACACATCTCAGCGAAGGTAGTCACCCGGTACACATCTCAGCGAAGGTAGTCACCCGGTACACATCTCAGCAAAGGTAGTCACCTGGTACACATCTCAGTGAAGGTAGTCACCCGGTACACATCTCAGCAAAGGTAGTCACCCAGTACACATCTCAGTGAAGGTAGTCACCCGGTACACATCTCAGCAAAGGTAGTCACCCGGTACACATCTCAGTGAAGGTAGTCACCCGGTACACATCTCAGCGAAGGTAGTCACCCGGTACACATCTCAGCGAAGGTAGTCACCCGGTACACATCTCAGCGAAGGTAGTCACCCGGTACACATCTCAGTGAAGGTAGTCACCCGGTACACATCTCAGAGAAGGTAGTCACCCAGTACACATCTCAGTGAAGGTAGTCACCCAGTACACATCTCAGTGAAGGTAGTCACCCGGTACACATCTCAATGAAGGTAGTCACCCAGTACACATCTCAGTGAAGGTAGTCACCCAGTACACATCTCAGTGAAGGTAGTCACCCGGTACACATCTCAGTGAAGGTAGTCACCCAGTACACATCTCAGTGAAGGTAGTCACCCAGCACACATCTCAGTGAAGGTAGTCACCCAGCACACATCTCAGTGAAGGTAGTCACCCGGTACACATCTCAGGGAAGGTAGTCACCCGGTACACATCTCAGCAAAGGTAATCATCCGGTACCCATCTCAACGAAGGTAGTCACCCAGTACACATCTCGAAGGTAGTCACCCAGTACACATCTCAGCGAAGGTAGTCACCCGGTACCTATCTTAGTGAAGCTAGTCATCCTATACCCATCAAAGTGAGGGTAATCATCTTATACCTATCTTAGTAAGGATAGTCATCTTATACCCAATACAGTGAGGGTAGTCACCCTTAACCCAGTACAGTTAGGGATAGTCACACTATACCCATTAGAGTTAGGGGAGTCAACCTATACCCATTAATGATGGTAGTCACCCCATACCCAATAGTGTGGGTAGTCGCCCAATACCCAATACAATGATAGTCAACCCATACCCAGTACAGTGAATGTAGCCACACCATACCCAGCAGTGAGGGTAATCACCCCATACCCAGCAGTGAAGGGAGTCATCCAATATCCAGCAGTGAAGGTAGTCACCCCATACCCAGCAATGAAGGTAGTCATCCAATACCCAGCAGTGAGGGCAATCACCCCATATCCATCAGTGAAGGTAGTCACCCAATACCCTATACAGTAAAGGTAGTCAACCTATACCCAATACAGTGAGGGTAGTCACACCATACCCAGCAGTGAGGGTAGTCATCCAATACCCAATACAGTGAGGGTAGTCATCCTATACATATCTCAATAAGGATAGTTTCCCTATACCCATTCTTGTGGACAGTAATCAGCTATAATAATTATATTCATGGGGAAGCCTTGTATCAAGTAATGCCTGAGGTTAGTAGCTTCAGTTCCTAGAATCAAGAGCCCTCACCAGCATCAAGGCACGTGTTCCTTGACGGGTCAGCTGTTTTATCACAGTGCTGTACGACCTCATAGGATTTTGCTCTTAGTTTGATTATATTATTATTATTTATTAACACATTGGTCATTTCCCACCAAAGCAGGGTGGCCCAAAAAAAGAGAAAAACTTTCATCATTCACTCCATCACTGTCTTGCCAGAAGTGCAGTTACACTACAGTTATAAAACTGCAACATTCACACCCCTCCTTCAGAGTGCAGGTACTGTACTTCCCACCTCCAGGACTCAACTCTGGCCTGCCGGTTTCCCTGAATCCCTTCATAAATGTTACCTTGCTCACACTTCAACAGCACATCAAGTCCTAAAAACCATTTGTCTCCACTCACTCCTATCAAACACACTCATGCATGCTTGCTGGAAGTCCAAGCCCCTCATACACAAAACCTCTTTTACCCCCTCCCTCCAACCTTTCCTAGGCCAACCCCTACCTCGTCTTCCTTCCACTACAGATTTATACGCTCTCCAAGTCATTCTATTTTATTCCACCCTCTCTACATGTCTGAACCACCTCAATAACCCCTCCTCAGCACTTTGGATATTTTTAGTACCCCACACCTCCTAATTTCCAAACTATGGATTCTTGGCATTACATATATTCACACCACACATTGCCCTCAGAGACATCTCCACTGCCTCCAGTCTTGTTGCAACATTCACCACCCATGCTTCACACACATGTAAGAGTGTTGGTAATAACTATGCTCTCATACATCCCCCTCTTTGGATAATGTTCTTTGTCTCCACAGACTCCTCAGTGTACCACTCACCTTTTTCCCCTTATCAGTTCTATGTTTCACCTCATCTTTCATAGACCCATCTGTTGACACATCCACTCTCAAATAAGTGAATGTAGTAACGTGTTCATGGGGCAGCACTCAATAATTATAAGTGCTATGTGGATCCACTCCTTTGATTCAATAGCTTTCACTGGCTTCAGCCTCCCATCAACCTCTTAGGGGACGTAACCATAATTATAGTATTTGTATGATCATTTCTTTTGATTAACAAGCCATTCCATTGGCTCTCAGTAAAAATCCATATTAAGAGGCCAAAAACAAAAAATATATATGCATTAAATTGAATTATAATTTTGTTTAATTTAACAACCATCGACATTTGTCCATGTGGCAGGGTATGACCAAAAAGGAAATGATAATAATTAATAGCCATTAGGGGATAACACATAAATAATAAACAACAGTAGGATCATCCAGTAAATTGAAATTATAGGATTCGAACTCTTAAGTTTTACAGAGCCAGCTACAGTTGTGATGCTAGATGGAATGTCATTGAGCAGATGAAAGGCACTGTGTCATTTTCCAGGCATTTAGAATTTGAACTGTCCATTGGTGGATCACCATTCATAGTGCTAATGAGCAGCTACAACAGCACCAGCTAGGGGATATCCCAGCACCAATTATTGACTGTCATATCACCAACTAGCAGCTGTCACAGCACCAAACACCAGCTACCACAGTACAACCTGCAGCTATCATAACACTGGAAGCTACCACACCATGCAGGCTAAAATACTAACAATGTGTCTAGCTGTGCTCATTCTTCCATTGATTATGATGCTCCGGTTAGTTGCTATTTTTGTGTTGGTTGAACCACTTTCCTAAGGGCAACTTTTTTTGCTTGGGATATGTTTCAGGTTTAAAAAATATACTGTATACAGCCTCTCCTCACTTAATGACGGAGTTCCGTTCCTAAAACCACGTCAGTATACGAATTTGTTACGAAGTGAGGACCATACTATAAGGGTAGCGGGCTTGTGTCACTTTTGCACCATTTATAACATCTCTGGTATATTTTTAAATGTTCATACAGTAGTGTACTGTATATTGTATTAAACAGAATAGAGGAAATCAGCTCTAATATACATGTACATTATTTAGGTATGCATGCTGGTCAGAGCCCGTCGCAAGTCCAAGTTGTCAGTAAATGAGTACTACGTTGCTATGTGAGGAGAGGCTGTATTTGAAATACATGTACTGTACTGCAAGTTTAGTAGAATTGAGCAGTATTGTACAGATGGGTTTTTAAAAGCTTAGGCACCAAAGAGAATATTGTACTCATCTATGAAGGAACAAGGAATAAGGGGTGCCTTGATGCTGGTGAAGGGTTCTTGATCCAAGGAATTGGAACTACATACTCTCCCCTTCCTCAGATCAAATGTGACTACATACCATTCCCCTTGTGCTGTAAAACCAACTACAGGTTTAGTGTTCTTGCATTATAATAATGATATACAAGAAGAAAAACAATGGGTCTGATAAAATTTGCAATTGGCTGTATGATAGAAAAAAAAAAGCAGCATGTAAGCTTAGCAGACAACACACCAAAAGTCAGGGTCAAAGTTCATTATTGTAAATTATTCTCCATGTGTGGGTGAATTTGCTTTAATTTTCTATCTAAGTATTACCTGGAGTTTACCTAGAGAGGGTTTTGGGGGTCAACACCCCCACAACTCAGTCTGAGACAGGGCTAAAGAAGAAAAATTATTTTGAGAAAAAGCATATTTAGGTCGAAAAGTTTCCCATGATGTGTACTGATGCACTATCATCATATTCATGGGGCATACAGCTCCTGTGTAATGAGGTAATCAGGTTTGATCCAAGGAAGAAAAAGGTGGCTCTAATTCCTTAAATCAAGTCCTTTACCAGAATAATGGTAGACTGTTTATAACCTCTCCACATGTATTTTTTCCAGTAGAAAAGGATTATGCACTAAAGATATAAAATTAAAAATATGCAGTTAGTATATAAGAATCCCTGAGACCAATATGCTGGTGTTAATGAATGATGTTCACATCATTTACCTTGAAATTACAAAATACTAATAACAAGCACTGATGGGACTTACGACTCTGATGCTTAAGACTTGGACATTGTATTAAGATACTGTGTATCTACTTTTCTTACAAAATGGTCATCATAATAATGTCCCAGAGGGATAGGTACTTATTAATTTCACCATATTACACTTTGGCAGATTTCAAAACATTATCCTCAAGAATAATCAGTGTCAGAAGATGTTACTTCGGGACAGTATAGACCAAGGCTTATACTCCAATCAATATTCTAGCTTAAATGTCAACAGAAGCATACAAAAAGGTACTGTACTACAATATATCTTTACACTGTATTGTATGTGCTTACCTATATGTGGTTGCATGGTTGAATAATAGCTTCAGGTCTTGCCCCCTCAACTTACTGCTTGACGGATTCATTGCCCCTTTCTTTCATGGACCCTGCTCTTAAAACTGTGTATGAAGCCTGCCTTCACCATTTCTTCACCGACATCATTCTATTTCCTAACCACCCTTGAGATGTAAGAAATACTTTGACATCCCTGTGGCTCAAGTGTGTCTAACTTCCAGCTGTGTCCCCGAATACCTATTTCTTGCCTCTGAAACAACCTGTCCCTGTCTACACTATCAAATCTTTCCTGGTTCTTCTGTACTCCCAAGTTGTTACTCAGTTCCAAGATATATATATGATATAATATATGTCACTTCATTTACAGGGGTGGTTCCAGAACGTTTATTTAAGAAGGGCTTCAAGGTGACAATCTGGTTGAAAGTAAGGGGGGGCCTAGGGGGGTTTGATTTTGTAATAATTAAGTTTGGTATTATTGGTGCTATGTACCTGATAGTATGGTTGGTAGAATAACAGATCTTGAAAGTGTGCCATAGGTTTATTTGGGTACATGATACAGACAGTGTGGTTGGTGCTAGCCCACACCATGCCAAAAACCTATGAGAGAGAGCTGGAGAGAGGGGATATCTTGCTTCTGCTGAGTCTGCCCAGTTAAAGGAAGATACAGGGTCTGGTGCACTGAGCTCTATATTGAACTAGGCCCACCAGACGACAGCACCAGGCATAGGGCAGCATGATGCAAAATACAAGAACTGACAGTGGTTACCTCACACGGGTACACTACCCATGGTAGTCCCGTGACAAATGATGGATAAAACTCTTTTGTAAGGAACATGGCACTAGTATGGATGCTATGTAGGTATGGCAAAACAATATATACAATAAGTAAAACTTCCTAACATGGGGAAAAAAAAGGAGGGGTGGGCAGTGCAGTGAGTCACACCAAGCAGGAACTCTTGTGGAGGAAATATGCCATCCCAGGACTGAGCCTACAAACTATGTGACATGGCAGGAGACACCAATTTGGCTGAGCAGCATAGCCAGGTAGTTTCCTTGAATGGAACTATGTCGCAAGGCATTCATTAAGGCAGTAACAGCAAAGTTGCTCTAACAGTGGCATGACTTGATGGTGCTGGTGAGTGGGGTGTTGTGGGAATATGGCATGTTTGAAATGAGCCTGCAGACTCTGTGACGTGTCAGGAAACATTACTGCAGCTGAGCGATGAAGCAGGGCAGAGTCCTCAAATGACGCACAACCTGGTAGTGCCGGTGAGCAGGGTGTTGTGGAGATGATGGCAATGAGTGAGCCATAAGGGGTTGAAGTGCCTTCAGTGATGCTGGTAGAGGTGGTTATTGCCAAAGAACATCAATGCATATGAAAGTCGAAGGCAAGACAACCAAGGTGGTGTTACATCAGCAGAACCGGCGAGCATAATACTCTCTGTACAAGGGTGTTTGGTTGGCTTGCACAGTAGATTCCAAGATTGACTGCAGTGTGTCAGTAAACAAGTGGTTACCTCAGGAATATGTTATGTTGGTCTAGGGACAGACCACACTGCGGAACCCAAAATTCTAGCACATCCACAAGTAAATACAGATATCGTGGTTTGCACAATCTAAAGTGATGTTTTTCTGTGGGTGTAGGAAAAATGGCAATGAACACACTGAGAGGTTGTAGCATGTGACCTACTGTACTTAGTCTAATACGTGCTGACTAACACGGTAAGACTTCCACATTTCTCTAATTTTCCAGAGGTTACAGAAAACGCTTTAAACTGCTCACCATAAAATAGCAAAGTAGTACTGGTACACATGACAGACAGCTGTATGGACAAACACGAAGTTGGGAGCGGTGATAGTGATAGTGTTGTGTCATGGCGTAATGTTGTGGTCTAACATTGTGGTTTGATATCATGACACGGCATCGTTGCATAATGTCCGTGCATGATGTTGTGGTGGCAAACAACAGCAAACTGACTCTGGAAATTAATTAGGTAGTAAGGAAGTGAGGATGGTATTGGTGTGGATGTGTGTGTTTTTGTGACCAACAGTGAGCACTAAGGAGCATGTAGGCTGCAAATAGCTCATGTCTGAGCTGCAAGTACTTCTAGCAATTTGCCATACACACAAATGATCAAGCTAAATGCATGGACACTGTTGGTGAAAAAAAAAAACTAAACTTACCTCTGGCTGTGATGAGCTGTAACAGTAAGGTATAGATAATGCTGAATACGTGGGCAAGGGCAGTATGGGAGGTTGAGAAGACCCAGGTAATGCCACTGAGATTTCTCAAGGAAATCAGAGATATTTAAGTGTAACTCCTGCATGTACCTGCATCTCAATGATGTGTCTTGGAGATACAGTATCAGTATAACCTGCTGGTATTTGGATCCTGCTTGGATGGGGATACGAAGTAACATGACTTCAGTCTTCCTTCCTCTGGGGATAGGGGACTTATCTTCAAGCAACATTATTACTATATTCTTTATTTAGGGGGCCTTGGGAAAAGTGCTGCAGGAATTTTTAGAGGTTTCAGTCCCCTTGATGCTATCACTGTCTATTTATAAGATGTAGTATAACACAATATACACAGTATTTGCAATATACGTATTTCATTATATTTCAGTCCAAGCTGAAGGTTTTAAGGATGCTTTCTTTGCCCCAGTATTAGAGGCATATCGTCAAGCTTCGGAACAATCTTATGTCGAGATTCCTCAGAGAAGGTATTTGCCAATATTGGTTTTTCATAGTAGTTAATGTAAAGTATTAGTTTTTCAAATCTCCATACTAATTTTTTTAACACACTGGCCATCTCCCACCAAGATAGGTTGACCCAAAAAAGAAACACTTTTGTTATCATTCACTCCATCATTGTCTTGCCAGAGGCATGCAGATACTTCATTTCACATGCCCCTCCAAACTGCAAATATCCTCACCCCTCCTTCTGAGTGCAGGCACTCTACTTTCCACTCCCAGGACTCAAGTCCAGCTAACCAGTTTCCATGAATCCCTTCACATTCCATGAATCCCTTCACATTCCATGAATCCCTGCTCACATTCCAACAGCTAGTCAAATCCCAAATACCATTTGCCTCCACTCACTCTTATCTAACACTCCTGCTGGATGGTCAAGCCCCTCACACATCAAACCACCTTTACCCCATCCCTTCAAATTTCCCAGGGATTATTATAATCAAAAAGAAGTGCTAACCCTACCCTTCCCTCCACTGCTGATTTATACACTCTCCAAGCCATCCTCTCTAAGTGTTCAATCCATCTCAACAACCCTTCCTCAGCCCTGTGGATAAAACTTTTAGTAACTCTGCACTTCCTCCTAATCTCCAGGCTTGAGGAGTGCTACAAAATCACAGGTATCTTCTCTATTTTATTTTCATTTAATCAGGGGAAGCTCTAACTCAGTGGGGTATTCAGTTTCAGTGCAAGGAGGGCGAGGATAAGTAGAGTTCCATGGATCTTGAGTCCCTCACCAGCATCAAGTCACTTCCCTTTACAAGTATTTTCAGGCTTCATTTCCCCATCCACATTTATATATGACTATAGGAGATCCCTCAAAATACTTACTACTCCTAGGGTAAAGAGGAACACTAGCAGGTTAATCATTTTTCCTATTTGCAAGTTCCTGAAATCTCTCCTAAATAAACCAGTACAGTGGACCCTCAATTTTCGTAATTAATCCGTTCCAGAAAGTCTGACTAATGGCAAAATTTACAATTTGCAAAACTATTTTCCCCATAAAAAATAATGTAAATCCAATTAATCCATTCCAGACACCTGAAAGTATTAACAAAAAACATTTTTTTACATTAAATCAAGTATATAAAACAACAATATCACACTTACCTATATTGAAGACTCTTGTTGGTGTATGGAAGATGGGAGGAGAGGAGAGGGTTAGGGTGATGTTCCTCCACAAATGTTTGTACCTCACTCCACTTAGCACTATGCTTAACCCTTTGACTGTCACAACCCCAAATCCTGAAGTGTCTTCTGATGTCGACAAATTTTTTGGAAAAAAAAAAAAAAAAAAAATCTTATGAAATGATAGAGAATCTTTTCCTGATGGTAATGACACCAAAAGTATGAAATTTGATCGAAAACATACGGAATTACGCTCCCATGAAGTTTGTGATCTTGGCATATACGCATTGGCAATTTCGCCGACTTTGAGCCCTATTTTCGGCCAATTCCATTCTTCTAGTTGACCAAACCTATAGCTATTTCTTTAGAACTCCATTTTTCCTATCAACTGAGAACAAAAAACTGCCCATTTACCGATTTCAACTACCCAATAAAGTGGTCAGAAATTGGCAATTTGGCCAGTTTCACACAAATTAAAAAAGATGTCAATTTCAAAATAGGGTCCACAATAAACAATGCAGACATTCTTGGCACTAAAATAACATATCCTCTGTTCATTATTCACATCTACAGGCCCCTCTTATATTACTCTTGCTTTCTATTTTGATTTTTTATTCACACAAAAAATAGAAGATTTACTGTTATGCAGACTACTGCATTATTGTAAAAATGGTATAAATAACATCAGTGCACTAGTGAAAGAATATCAGACTCCCTAATTGATATGTATTGGACGTGTGGTGTGATTTGCTTACTCCTGAACATTGGTAAAAATCAAACATTTCCGCTACTTTGAGCTCGATTTCAAGGTCATCTTCTTCGTGAAACTAACCAAAATCATCTCTATTTATGTAATATGTTTTCCATTTTATCAAATGAGACCAAGAAAACAAGAATACCACCATAAATACTGTAAGAAAATACACCTCAAAATCAGCGTTTTAATCCAAAAACATGATCGGAATTTTTTTCCTATTATGCACTGCATGCTGCAGGATTTTTTTTATAGTGCACACTGACTACACAGACCCATTCCCTCACATGTGGGCCTACAAGCTTTCTCCTGTTTGATTTGAAGCCTCTAGAATTATTGAGTATATGTACGTCCAAAACACTGGCTCGTAAGACGTATATATACGGCCGAAACAGTCAAAGGGTTAGTCTTTGAAGAAGGCACCTTCTTCTCTCTCTCTCTCTCCCTCCTTCTCTGAAGCAATTTCATCGGCGGGTGTACATAAGAACATAAGAAAGCAGGAACACTGCAGCGGGCCTGTTGGCCCATACTAGGCAGGTCCTTCATAAACCATCCCACTAACAGAATATTTGCTCAACCCAATTTTCAATGCTCCCCAAGCAATAAGCTTTGATAATTCTATTCACTCATGAGCAAGTCCCACTCAAATCATATCATGTATGTGGGGAAGTACCCTGGCTGGTTTGTGTAAGGAAGTACCCTGGCTGGTGTCTGGGGAAGTACCCTGGCTGGTGTGGGGAAGTATCCTGGCTGGTGTGTTCTTTCTTGAATTCTATCATGTTTCTTGCCTTCTTTACCAAAGGGCTGGCACTAGGAGCTTTCTTTTGGCCCATGGTAGCTTATTTAGCAGTCGCGAGCACAAACAACCATGGATTATTACGAAATTCATCGTATGAACGCGTGGTGTGATCGTCACTCGCCAATAAATAATGCCACACTGACTGGGAATGGTGTGTGGGGCACCTTTGTGTGTGTGCGGACGCTGGGAGGCCGCTCGTACGCGTTACAGACGAGCGACAATTTGTGAGGCAAATGACGATCCGCGAGGCAATATTTCGATGAAAAAATGTTACGATTGGTGAAAATTATGAAGAGCAAGGCTTACGATATTCGAGGGTCCACTGTACTCAAAAAATTTACTACAACACAGCAACCATTACCACTACCATCATTAACCCTTAAACTGTCCAAACAAATTTACGTTCACATATGTAGTGCTCCAAAAGTAGATCTACATTTTTTACATATTTTCAAATAGTAGAACCTCTACTTGCGAGCGTGTCCACGTGCGAGTTTTTCCAAATACGAGCATTCGAAGGTTCGTTTTTTTGCTTCCATACGCGAGCAAAATTCCCACAAGCGAGCAGACCTCAAGGCAGGTTCCTTGACACTAGTGAGGGGCACTTGCTCTTGATCTCGGAAACTGTATCTCATTTGTTTGTTGGACCATCTTATTGAAACTTGGGCAATGTATGATGGAAAGATGCTTCTTAACGTACACCAAAAATGAAAGAAATCTAAGCATAAATAATGGAGTTCACTTCTCAGCAATTAGCCACCCCTTAGTGGTAATTTCGAATGTTTTTTATGGTTGTATTCTCATTTTTTGGTCTCATTTGATAGAATGGAAGATATATTACAGAAATAGATATGATTTTGATTGCTTTCATGATGAAAACTGCCTTGAAATTGAGCTCAACCTAGGTGAAATGGTCCATTGCTTGGCTTTTTCAGAGTAAACAAATGACATCACTGTCCATTCCAGTATGCAGTCGTGAATGGGTTGACATATTTATACAATTATTGCAATAAGGAATAACAGTAAATCTTATATTTTTTGTGTGAATAAAAATTACAAATAATTTATATAATAATAACGATAATAATAATAATAATAATAGTAATATGTATAATAATATGAATAACAATACGTATAACAATAATAATAATAACAATAGTATAATACAACAATAATAATAATAAAATATGTATAATAATAATACATATAAAATAATAATGTACTACATATAATAATTATAATAATAGATGGCTTCAAAAGGCCGTCACTAGAGGGCAGTGTTTACCACAACAAAGAGGGAGCAGTTGTGGCCGCCTCCACCTGTTACATAATGACATATTTTATTCATTCTAGAGTATATATTGTGTTTCTATGTTATTTATATTGTCTGTTATGTCATATTAGATGAACTGTGATATACATGTATAAATAAGCCGTATAGATCATATTAGCGAAATTATTCATGAAGTATTTTGCCCGGTCTCCAGACAAACTCTCGTCCACCGCCGACACCATCCGTATCACTACATGAATGACATATTTTATTCATTCTAGAGTATATATCATGTTTCTGTTATTCATATTGTTTGTTATGTCATACTAGATGAACTGTGATAGATAAATAAGCCGTATAGATGACATTAGCGAAATTATGCATGAAATATTTTGCCCGGTGTCCAGACAAACTCTCCTCCACTGCCCATACCACTACATGAATGACATATTTTATTCATTTTAGAGTATATATCAGGTTTCTATGTTATTTATATTGTTCAATATGTCATATTAGATGAAGTGAGATAGATAAATAAGCTGTAGAGTTGATATTAGCGAAATTATTGAGTACAGAATTCCACTGGAATGGATTAATTGCATTTCAATTAATTTAAATGAGGAAAATGGACTCTGCAAACGAGCAAATCCAGCTGCAAGCAAGGTCATGGAACGGATTAAACTCGCAAGTAGAGGTTCCACTGTATAACAAAAAAAAAAAAGTAGATCAAACTTTTCTTTACACGTTTTCAAATGTAAAAAAAAAAAAAGAAAAGATCTACATTTTTTTACATACTTTCAAATGTTGAAAAAACGTAGATCTACGTTTGGACAGTTTAAGGGTTAAGGACATCACCAGTGTCAACTGCAACAACTCAACAAAAAGAACAAACAGGGATATCTAATATTCCTTACAGCAGCTCAGACAAAATAGTATACAGTGGAACCTAATCCGTTCCAGGAGTTAGTTCTAAATTCGATAAGTCTGAAAAGCGAAGCAATATTTCCCATAAGAAATAATGGAAATAAAATTAATCCGTTCCAGAAACCCAAAAATATTCACAAAAAAATACATTTTATAGAGATTAATTATAGTTTTACATACAACAAATATAGTGTTCAATTATGTATTAATAAATTTGAATAAACATATAAAATAACATTTTACTTGCCTTTATTGAAGATTGGTGATGGCATCTGGAAGATAGAGAGGAGGAGAGAGGGAGTTGGGATTAGTGTTTGGAAGGAGAATCCCCCTCCATGAGGACTTCAGGTATCAAAGCCCTCTCTGGGGTTACTTCCTTTCTCTGTCTTTTAATGCCACTAGGACCAGCTTGAGTCACTGGACCCCTGTCTCACAAAATAACTATCCACAGTCCTCTGTTTTGGTCCCCTTTTTAAGATTTCCCAAAAAATGGGACATAGTCCTGTCACGAACTTGTTGCAAAAATGGTTGTTTCGCTTGCTCGGGGTGGTACTTCTCCAAGCATTTGGACTTCATTCCATTCGGGTATTATTTCCTTTTTCCCAAATCTATGGTTTTTCTCACTTTCTTATCAAGGGGACCATGCAAGTTTTTTTGGGGCCCCATTGAGCTTATTTCACATCCACAAGCAACCACAATGAAAGTAATCGTAAAATTTTTTTGAATGAGAGCACAGGTTAGTGTTCACCAAGCATCAAAAAATCAGCTGGCTCACGGGGCCCCTGCGGGGGGACGTGGACAAAGGGGCTGCCGGACAGGTCCAGTCCCGGGCGATTCGAAAATAGGGGCGAGTTCGTAATGGGGACAAAGTTGGTTCGAAAAAAGGGTTTATTTTCGAAAAGTTCAAATAAACGTACGTTCAAAAATCTGAGGTTCCACTGTACTTGTTGCACCAAAAAAACCTTACAAACCCACTGCAATTTGCAGCCCCTTTGATCGAAAAAAGAAAAATCCAAAAAGTGGTCATCCTACCTAAATAGGGTAGTTTTCAGCTAGCATCCCCCTTTGGGCTCAAAACGCATTAGGACACAATGGACCTGACATAACGATTTTACTTAACCCTCTCCTTCATCCTCACCCCCTTACATACCTTTTTTTCCCCCCTCATTGCTCTATAAACTTGAAAATGTTATCCTTCTTAAAAATGTTCAATAAAGTTTCCCTACGTGAATGTCTTTAAAATCCAGTTTTTTGGGTATTTTTATCTAACTTTCACTGAAAAAATAGTTAAAATGCGACTATAATTTTTGGCCTTGTATGGGGAAAGTGTGTTGCAGTAGTGTGAAAAAGCTTAGAAAAGTTTTAACATTTTTTTTTTTTTTCAGGTTTGGGTCGGGTTATTTCCCGAAATGGTGTGTATTCAACAAAATGTTTGCCCTTTTTTTGATTGGTATTAATGAATATTTTTAGATATTACGGGGTCGATCCCCAAATGCCCTGCAAATCACTTCGACATTCAGAGAGGTAGGTTTAACCCTTTCACTTTTGGTGCCGAAATACATGCTTAAAAGCTGTTTTGGTGCCGTGTACATGCCAAAATTCTAGGACTTCAAATTAACAGGAGAAAGCTGGTAGACAACAACAAGAGAAAGGGTCTGAGTGGTCAGTGTGCAAGTATAAAAAAAATCCTGCAGAACGCAGGCTATTGAGAAAAAATTATGCCGGGTTTTTTTAGTTTAAACACTGACTTTGCGGTGTATTTTTTAGGGTATTTAGGGTTTTGTTTTCTTTTTTCTGGTTCATTTGATAGAATGGAAGATAATTACAGAAATAGAATGATTTTAAATGGTTTCGGACTAAAAGTCCCTTTGAAATTGGCTCAAAGTGGGGAAAGTTCAATTTTTGGAAAATAAAGAGCGAAAAAATCATTCACAATTTTTTCACAAAAAGTGCTGATATTATTTTTCCATTTTTACAATAATCAGTGTCTCATAAAAAGTAAATCTTTATTTTTTTTTGAAAAAAAATTAAAAAAGGGAAAATAATGTAATATAAGAGGGGGCCCGGAGCATGCTAATGAATAGAGAAAAAGTTATTTTAGTGCTAGGATGTCTGCATGTTTATTTGGCACCCATTTAGAAATTGGCCTTAACTGTATAGAATTTTGGGAAATTACCAATTTCTGATCACTTTATTGGGGAGTTGAAATCGTAAAAGAGTGGTTTCTTGTACTCATTTATAGAAAAAATGGAAATTCTAGTGATAAAGCTTGATTTGGGTTTAAAAACGCCAATGCGTAAATATTGCCCCAAACAAACTTCCGAAAGGGAATTCCCTAAGTTTCCATCAAATTTGTACTTTTGGTTCATTACCATCTGGAAAAAAAATTTTTATTTATAAGAAAAAAAAAATTTTTTTTTTTGAAAAAATTTTTTAAAACCCGATAACAATTTGTAGCAGGTGTCTCGAAAGAAAGGGTTTTAAAAAACCTATAAAATGGCAGCTTATATCAAAATAGATTTATATTCTATAGCAATGTCCTTTCAATCAAAATTTTCCGGTACTGATTTTGCTAAAAATGTGAGTATGGCAAAAAACTTTTGAGCAAGCTAAAAATAATAAAGATTCTTAAAGTGAGGAAAGATCACATTTTAGTAAAACACATTTATGATCAAAGTATCACCTTTCTCTTGCCCATTAATTTATAATACACCTGCATAGTGTTTAGCTGGTATTTTATGAAAGTATAAAACTTTTTAATGAAAACTCTCAATTTTGAATAAAAAAACACTATTAACAATGAAAATAATGGGGTCTGTACATGAGAAGCAATAAGGGCCCTAGGGGTCAATAACCTAACAGCTACTCATGGGTCTGGTGTCCAAGCCCCACTACAAAACCTCCTTTACCCTCCCTCCAAAAATTTTGAAAGGTAAAAAACCCCTCCTTGCCCTTCCTTCCCCTACAGATTTATACAACCTCCAAGTCATCCTATTTTTTTCCATCCTCCTGAACTGTCCAATATTATAAATATATATTGTATTGCACATTCTGAATTACAGATAGAAATGGAACATCACATAATAGTGAATATGAGTAACGTAAACCTGCATTTAGCAAAGAAAGCTCATAAAGAATTAAGAATATGCTCATTTTTTTTTTCATTACTGTCAGGTAAACACTAGCTGTATGATAATATAAAAATGTACTTTTTCTTATTCACATACAGGTGACAACTGCAGATGTGGTGCTAATCCATTTAGTAAGTGTAGAAAATAAAGAAAAATTATTAAAAGACCTGGGTACACGTGATCTATCCCAGCCATGGATTATGTTTGAAGTAGAAACATATCTGAAGGGTAATATTATGTTTCATAATGATTATAAGTCACTAGATGGAGTCTTCAACCGTACTATGCACTACCGGCAGGACTCTGACGTTCACTTATTGCATGGGTTTGTTGTCCGCCGTGGCAGAGAAACTAGTCTTTTACCTCCAACATGGCGTCGTCAACCTGAATTACAGCAAATTAATAACACTCAAAACCTTGCTGTAGCATTTGTTTCCAACTGTAAGGATAATAGTGGAAGATTAAAATATATTGAAGCCTTGAAGAAACATGCTCCTATTGATGTTTATGGCAAGTGTGGTAGCCTGAAGTGTGGACATTCTTTATATACTCATCATGGTTATAGAATTGATCTGGAACCTTGCATGCAATATGCTGGACACCATTATCTTTTTTATTTAGCATTTGAGAATGCTTTGTGCAAAGACTATGTAACAGAAAAGTTATATAATCTACTTTACTACCCAATTGTTCCTGTGGTGCTGGGAGCAGCTGACTATTCTACTTTACTTCCTCCCGGATCCTATATCAGTGCACAGGACTATACACCAGAGCAGCTTGCTCAAAAGTTAAAATATCTGGCTGATCACCCAAAGGTAAGATTCTCAAAATGATAAGATAGTTGAATAATTAATGTCATACAGTAATTCTCCTGCAGTACCACATGCACACTCATCTCCTACTGGTTTATCTCATTCATATAATTGTAAAGAATAAGTTTCACTCTCTCTCTCTCTCTCTCCATGGGGAAGAGGAACAGAATTCTTCCTCCATAAGCCATGTGTGTTGTAAGAGGCGACTAAAATGCAGGGAGCAAGGGGCCAGTAACCCCTCATCCTGTATATATTACTAAATTTTAAAGGAGAAACTTTCGTTTTTCCTTTTGGGCTACCCCGCCTTGGTGAGATATGGCCGGTTTGTTGAAAGAAAAAGTATTTCATGCTCAGGTCACCCTACCTTGGTGGGAGACAGCCAGTGTGTTAAAAAAAAAAAATCAATCCCTTAGTTGAAACATTTCAATCATATCCCATAAATTTAGGATAAAACTTAGCTCATATGTTGTCTTGATTTCTTCTAAAATTTGGGAGTTAATTGTGTATGTTTCTACACTAATTAACAAGTATTTTTCATCAGTTAACACATTCCAAAACTCCATTACCTCTATTAGTATACCAGCTTCAGTTTTCTTTTTCTTTGAAATTTGTTAGTCTCATTTAGCTAATTCATCTGTATAATATATTACTTATCACTACTTATTTTCTGCCTCATTCTATATATTAACCTATTTTACTGTGGATTATTATTATTATAATCAAAACTAAGTGCTGAACCACCAGGGTCATACAGCACTGCACTTTATTGTGGAGTGATAATGATATAATATTTCCAAACATTTCAGCCATTAAAAATACAGTGAAATTTCTGCTTTGAATAAATCTATATGTTGCCTTTGCTGCAACTTTAAAACTCTTCACTGCATAATGACAGGAATACATAGAAAGCATGGGTTCACTTAACATGCACAAAGAAAATAAGCAAAAGTGACCAAAGTGTACAAAAATGCAAGTATAAAATAATATTCTATTCATGGGGAATAAACCAAAAAGGCTCATTAAGCACTTGGGTAATGGGAAGCAGTTGGGTTTGGTTCAAGAGAGGAGAAAGTCAGCTCCCATTCCTTTGATTAGTGCCCTTCACTGTCATCAAGGTACCTTTTACCCTTGCAAAGCAAGGAGAAAAGAATATTACTGAAAAGACAGAGTTGAAGTTGAAACTGTGTTAAAGTAATCAAATACATAACACACTGGCTAGAAGGGAGGATATGGTTTCCTTCAATAATTCCTGAGTCGAGTTCCCAAAATTCATTTGTTAATTTCATTATCTTTTAAACTGCTTTTATAGCAAATTTTGTAAAAATGAATGATTAGCATATTCATGAACATTATTTTTTTTTTTATTTAAAATTTAAGGCTGCAATCTTTTCAGATTTACTTTTTCCTAGCTTCTAAATTACTATTATATTACAGTATCAATCACTTCATAAAAATCTTAAAACAATTTTATTCATACAGTATTGATATTTTTTTCCCAACAGGAGTACAAAGCTTACTTGTCATGGCGGCATTACTACCAGCCTTCAACTACTGGTGGAAGCCGTATTTTATGCGATCTTTGTGTTCGACTGTATGACAATGACCTGTACAGACACAAAGTTATTGATGACTTTTATGACTGGTATGTTACTCAGGCAAATTGCAATGCAAGTGGTACAGTTATAAACTACAACTAAATATTTTTGCAAAAAATACAGCACTTTATAATGACCACCATATACAGGAGGTACCCAGCTAAGGAAAGAATTACATACTTGTTATTCCAACTTATGAGTTTGTTGCTTATAACTTGAAACTTACAGTATTTTCCTATGGAAAACAAGAGCACAGAGGATGGCTGTGTCACACATTATGACCATATTACTATATATTAAAGTTCCTTTGTATAAAGGCAAAGGGGATAAAAGAGAGTGCAAAAATTATAGGGGGATAAGTCTGTTGAGTCCTCCATGGGGAAGTGGAACAGAATTCTTCCTCCGTAAGCCATGCGTGTTGTAAGAGGCGACTAAAATGCCGGGAGCAAGGGGCTAGTAACCCCTTCTCCTGTATATATTACTAAATTTAAAAAGAGAAACTTTAGTTTTTTCTTTTGGGCCACCCCGCCTCGGTGGGATACGGCTGGTATGTTGAAAGAAGAAGAAGTCTGTTTAGTGTACCGGGGAAGGTGTATGGTAGAGTTATAATTGAAAGAATTAAGAGTAAGATGGAGAATAGGATAGCAGATGAACAAGGAGGCTTTAGGAAAGGTAGGGGGTGTGTGGACCAGGTTTACAGTGAAACATATAAGTGAACAGTATTTAGATAAGGATAAAGAGGTCTTTGTGGCATTTATGGATTTGGAAAAAGGGGTATGACAGGGTGGATAGGGGGGCAATGTGGGAGATGTTGCAAGTGTATGGTGTAGGAGGTTTGGTTACTGAAAGCATGAAGAGTTTTTACGAGGATAGTGGGCTCAAGTTAGAGTATGTAGGAAAGAGGGAAATTTTTTCCCAGTAAAGGTAGGCCTTAGACAAGGATGTGGTGATGTCACCGTGGTTGTTTAATATATTTATAGATGGGGTTGTAAGAGAAGTAAATGCGAGGGTCTTGGCAAGAGGCGTGGAGTTAAAAGATAAAGAATTATTATTTTTTTTTTTTTTTTTTTTATTATCACCACCGCCGATTCCCACAAGGCAGGGTGGCCCGAAAAAAAAAAACTTTTCACCATCATTCACTCCCTCCCCTGTCTTACCAGAAGGGTGCTTTACACAGCTGCTCTTTTTGGGTGACACTGTGCTCTTGGGAGTTCTAAGAGAATGCGAGATGGTGGATAAATTTTTGGTAGGGTGTGAAAAAGAAAAAAATTTAAAGGGAAACGGGAAAGGTAAGGTTAGGGGAAAAAAAAAGATTAGGTGATGAAAGATTGAATATCAGATTGGGGAAGGTATGGGGGAGGTGAACGTATTCGATTTTTGGGTGGACGTGCAGGGAGGGCTTGAAAGTGGGGTAAAATCTAGAATTGAGAGGAAAAAAGAGTGGTGCACTTAGGGCTGTGGAGACAAAGAACTTTGTCCTTGGGGGAAAAGGGGGAAGTATAAGTATATTTTTACCAACGCTTTTATGGGGTGAAGCTGGGGATGAATGTTGCGCGAGGGGAACTGGGGGCAGTGGAGAAGTCGCTGAGGGCAAATTTTGGGGGGTGATATAAAGCAGAGAATTGTAGTTTGGAAATTAGGGGGAGGTGCGGATTACCCAAAAGTTGCCGAGGTGAGGGAAGGTTTTTGAGGTGGTTCGGACTGTAAGAGAATGGGGGAAACAGAATGCTTCAAGAGTGTATCAGCTGTGTGGAAGAAGGCGGGGTGGGCGGCCGGGAAAGGGGGGGAGGGAGGGGTAAAGGGGTTTTTTTTGCGAGGGGGTTGGACTTCCAGGGCATGCTGAGGTTTTGATAGGGGTAATGGGGGAAAATGGTTTTAAACGAGTGCTGTTGGGGTGTGAGCAAGTAACATTATGAAGGGATTAGGGAAACCCGGAGGCCGTTTTAGTCCTGGGTGGAAGTACAGTGCCCGCACTCTGAAAGGGGGGGTGTTAAGTTGCAGTTTTTAAAAATGTAGTGTAAAGCACCCCCTGGAAACAGTGATGGGTGAATGATGGTGAAGTTTTTTTTTTTCGGGCCACCCGCCTTTTGGGGGAATCGGGGGCCCGTGTGATAATAAAAAAAAATAAAAAAAAATAATAAAGTGTAATCATTAAAAAATATTGTAAACTTGTACAATTCAATTTTATGGCTATGGATGGATAAAAACATGAGATCACAATCTTTATTTTTTCAACCTTTCAGTGTCCAATCACCGAAACATAAAAGGGATTTCAAGGGGCTTCTAGTATGTTACAAACTGCCCCAATTCTAAGACTTTAACCCTTATGATTTTTGCCATATCTCTGATCGTCATTATTCCTACTTCCAAGTAATTGTGAATCACTGAGAAACACTCCCAGGTCTAGAACTACACTGCTTCACACTTATCCGTCTTACTCCACTTGTGAGAGAGAGGGTTAGCTGACTGGTTACATGAGAGGAACTCTCTTGACTCACAACAATGCTATCAATTTCCTGTGCATTGATTAGGCTTTGGAAACTCAAATTTGGCCTAATTACCTACCCTCTCATGGGTAGAAGAACACTAAAGGGCTAAATTGTCAGATATGATGAAATGGATTTAATCTTTTTTGTAAATATTTGCATGACTCAATGAAAGTTATCAAGCATTTACTATACACTGTATTAAATTTAATTATTTTTGGTTTAATTTTCTCACTAGATGTACTGTAAGTCTAAGTGTCTTTTCTAATTAAAAATTTGCACAAACTTTTGTGCAAATTATAATTTGCACAAAAGTTTGTACCCTGTTCAAGGATATGCAAGTTTCTCATACAATCTGGCAGGACAGTTATGTAGAGTTAAAACATTGTTGGAGCTAGTACCAAGGACAAATTTGGTTAGTTTTTTAGCAATTTCTTTTCAAGTCAAAAAAAAAAAAAAAATCTTCCAGTGTTAATACTGCATAAACATTAAATTATTATTTTATGTAATTTTGATACATATACTTTTTTTCAATAAAATAAATAATCACATTATGATTCTAAATATACTGCATCAGTATTTTAGCATACATTTACAACTATATCTAAGTATATAAATTATGCTTTGTTCCTGGCCATAAATCAGAGGGTGACCACATACAGATTCTGATTAGAGACATCTCAAATGCCTTTCTTTTTTTAGATTCATGAATGGTCATCTGAAATGTTTGTATAATTAATCATGAAAGGTCAGCTATTATAAATCAACCAGTAGCCAATGCCTGATTCAAGAAGTAGAATATGGAAACAGAAAAAAGACAGAAGGGAAGAATAACATTGGATTGATGCACAAGTAAATAATGTTAAAGGAAAAACAGTAAAACTTCAATTTAACAAACCCCCATTTAATGGATTTCGTATTTAACTAACAAAATCTGTAGCTGAGCAATGTCTGGAAATGATAAAGTCCATGAAATCAAGATTGTTTTTGCTTAGATCATGGAAATACAATCATCATTCAAATTTAATGGACAATTGTCACTAATGGATACCCCTTTTCCTTAGTAGTCTATATCTACTGTACTTTTATCACCATACATAAATAACCCACATATAGAAGACTGAAACTTATGACAACATTTCAGTCCAACTTGAACCATTAACAAGCCCTTCCCTTCTTGCTTCAGTGTGACTTGCTAATGGTCCAAGCTGGACCAAAGTGTCGTGATAAGTCTCAGTGTATTATTTCACAGTAATACTTCCTTGGAGAACAAAGACTAGCTAGTTTATTACATTATTATTATTATTATTATAATCAAACTCAAGTGGTCTATTACAGTACCCCCAAATGTATGGCCATATATACAGTTCTTCATGCAATATTCCACAGGTGGTTATTTATGAACAAGCTGGGGAGGCTGTAATATTTAAAGATACTACTGAACTTCAGCATAACTAACCTGTTGTCAGTATTAAAAGGTATTATACTGGGTCTAGGAACTGGAGCCCAATGCTATAAATAAATATATAATAAACAGTCTAATAACTGGTCCCTGAAGTAAGCTTCAGTCTTTAGTTTACTGTAGCTTACATTCATCCGATTGTCCCTTGTTGGTGATCTTGATTATAGGGGCCTCCATTTTCCTCAGTACTTTCTCTTTCCTTTCCACTTTCTTGTTGCCATCTTCCAATTTTATTGCAATTTCCTTAACCTAGAAAAGAGTATACAAATATTTTAGCAAGATGAGAGATGAGATGACAATGTGTCTGTGGTGTTTTGAGCCACCTGTAAAAAGAAAAATGAGTTTATCTATGAGGCAAAAAGAGGGATGCACTAGAGCAGGGGTAGGCAATCTTGTTCTGCCTAGGGGCCAGAGCCCACATCTGTGAGTGGATGGCGGGCCACACTTATCACCACAGCTAATAAATAGAGGCAATAATAGTACATACTAAACTCTGACGTACATTTAACATCACTTGGCCTACGGCCCGTGAGCTGGATCCGGCCTGCAGGCCGTATGAAGGTTGCCAACCCATGTACTAGAATATAGTGGTACCATCACTTCTATATTTGTGTGAGGTATATTCTTGAAAATTTGTTGCAAGGTGAAGGTTGGATGCAGAGATGATGTGATGTCTGAGAGCAATGCATGAAGAAAATTAGGAGTAAAGAAATCATAGTGTGGAGTTACAAAGGTATAATTCAAGAGGTAATTTGAACATTTAGAAATAATGGAGCTGAATAGGATGACAAAGAAGGTGCTTAAATACAGGGTGGAGGGGAGGAGGGGTAGCGATCATCCCAGACAGAAATGGAAGGGATGAAGAATGAAACTTGAACATCGAGCAGGAATGTGTGAGTATGTTAGATCAAAATGAGTGAATACTGATTTTCAAGGTTAAATATACTGCTAGATTGTGAGCAAGGTAACACCAACGAAGATATTCAGGGAAACTAGCTAGCCATACATAAGTTCTGGAGGTAGGACTGCCTGAACTATGAAGCATATGTGGGTGGGGTTGTTGCTCTTTGGAGGGTCATCTGAATTGTGATGTATACCTGGAGAAGGTTTTGGGGGTCAACGCCCTCGCGGCCCGGTCTGTGACCAGGCCTCATCTGCACATTTTTAGCAAGGCTGTTGTAGAATGAATGATAGAATGATAGTGGATCATCATGTTTTAGCAGGATATGGCCAATATGGTAAATATATATAATAATATGTACATGTATATAATATGTACATATTATATATAATAATATATACATATTATATATAATAATATGTACATATTATAGGTAGTAGGTTGGTAGACAGCAATCGCCCTGGGAGGTACTACCGTCCTGCCAAGCGAGTGTAAAATGAAAGCCTGTAATTGTTTTACATGATGGTAGGATTGCTGGTGTCCTTTTTTCTGTCTCATGAACATGCAAGATTTCAGGTACATCTTGCTACTTCTACTTACACTTAGGTCACACTACACATACATGTACAAGCACATATATACACACCCCTCTGGGTTTTCTTCTGTTTTCTTTCTAGTTCTTATTCTTGTTTATTTCCTCTTATCTCCATGGGGAAGTGGAACAGAATTCTTCCTCCGTAAGCCATGCGTGTTGTAAGAGGCGACTAAAATGCCGGGAGCAAGGGGCTAGTAACCCCTTCTCCTGTATAAATTACTAAATTTGAAAAGAGAAACTCTTGTTTTTCTTTTTGGGCCACCCTTCCTTGGTGGGATAAGGCCGGTTTGTTGAAAGAAAGAAGAAAATAAAGTAAATCTATTTTTGCTAGATTATGAATTCAGGAGAAGCCTGAGGACGTAATTAATGAACAGAGGAAATGTCTTAGTGCCAGAAATATCTACAATTTTTTTTTTTTTTTTTAACAAGTCGGCCTTCTCCCACCGAGGCAGGGTGACCCGAAAAGAAAGAAAATACTTTCATCATCATTCAACACTTTCACCTCACTCACACATAATCACTGTTTTTGCAGAGGTGCTCAGAACACAACAGTTTAGAAACATATACGTATAAAGAGACACAACATATCCCTCCAAACTGCTAATATCCCGAAACCCCTCCTTTAGAGTGCAGGCATTGTACTTCCCATTTCCAGGACTCAAGTCCTGCTATATAAAAATAACCGGTTTCCCTGAACCCCTTCACTAAATATTACCCTGCTCACACTCCAACAGATCGTTTATCATGAACTATTTTTAAATTGGTATTTTTTAATTTTGTGTAAAATTGGCCAAATTACCAATTTCTGTTCACTTTATAGGGTAGTTGTAATAGTTGAATGGGCAGCTTCTTGTGCTCAATCAAATAATGCAAGGCTCAAAATAGGACTCGAAGTGGGTGAAATTGCCAATGCATAAACTGAAACCAGACTGCTAACTTCATGTCTGTGCAATTTCCTAAATTTTCTAGATTTTTTTTTAAAGTGGACTCTGAAAGCAATATTAATTTCAGAAGTCTGGCCAGTTTATGGGTTAAATATAACTAACTGCATTTTAAAAGGCTTTGTATCTAATATGGATACAGAGCAGAAATCACTCATTATAGCACAGAAAATTAAAAAAAAATTTATACCCTAAAAGATAAAACCTATCAAAATAAGCCAAATTATAAGCAGATGATATCAACATCACTTAAGAAAAAGTGAAAGCATTAATTTTCAATAACCACCTATAAAACCTCTCCATGGGAAAGTTGAACAGAATTCTTCCTCCGTGAGCCATGTGTGTTGTAAGAGGCGACTATCATGCCGGGAGCAAGGGGCTAGTCGCCCCTTCTGCTGTATAAATTACTAAATTTAAGAGAAGAAACTTTCGTTTTTCTTTTTGGACCACCCTGCTTCAGTGAGATATTTACCTGGAGTTTACCTGGAGAGAGTTCATATATAGCCAGTTTGTTGGAAGAAAACCTGTGCCATCATCAGTACCTTTACTAAATGGTGAGGAGCCAAGTTTGAAATATTTGACTGTCAATATATCAAATGATTAGCCTGATAAATGTATTCCTGTGGCTGTAGTGTCTGCATTCTCTGTGCTTAATTATAATTTTACTACAAATACTTAAAAGTAATCTACAACAATTATAAATATAGTACAGTGTACTATACTTTGAAGATTATGAACTGGTTACAAATGACCATAATTTTTAAAGGGGTGGACCGGTAAGCCAGCAGAAGGCCTCGGTCAGATGACCAAAAGTTCCAATGGCAGGTCATCATCTGACTAAGATTCGCGCCAGGAAACACTTGTCCTGTTTCCTGACAAACCTTACCTAACCTAACCTATACTTTGAACATACACACTTAGACTTGGATAAGCGCTGGACAAACTTTTTAAATTATGTATTGTTTTACTGTATATTTAACTTTAGACTTCATTAATTATGGTACTTTTGCATTAAAAAGCTCCTGGTCTTACTGTATCCAAACAAATGGTGCTCATTTATATATTTTTTTTAATACGTCGGCCGTTTCCCACCAAGGCAGGGTGACTTATATACAAAGGCAAAAAAAAAGACAACTGTGTCTTTTTCACCACTTGTCACAATTTGTCTCCACCTGTATAAAATATCTATTTTACTTATTTGAGTTTGCGGACTAGATTTCCTATGTATATAGAGGCGTGGAGGGGTAGAATGTGAAGATTATACACAATTAAGCCTACAAAGATAGCAGGATAAAAATAATTAGATAAGACTTACTTCACCATCACTATTTTGAACAGCAACAGTTTCAGTCATGCGAACTAATTTTATACGTTTCTTCTGAATCTCCTGAGAATGTGGGGGTTCATTCTCTTGATTTTCTGCCTTTCTGCTGCTGCTGGTGTCAACCCGATCTCCAGGGTTTGTACCTGAGGTAAATGAAGAGGTGTTAATACTCCAGTAATTTGACACATTCTTCTAAATACAGGTCTCCCTCAACATTCACGAGGGTTAGGGGAACAAGAGCCTCGCGAATGTTGAAAAACTGTGAATGTTTGGTGCCCCAATATATTGTAGGGAAATATAATACAATACTGCTTCCTTAACTTGTTGAACCATGAACAATCATAAAATACATGAAAACATCGTAAACTGTACTAAATACATATGTTATGCCTTAACAACAACATGTATGTTATTAAATACCACTGCCTCCACCACTGCAAGTCCCTACTACCCTCCCTCCGACCCCCCACAACTGGCAGCCAGCCCTCCCACCACTGTGTGGTGAGTGTTTTGTTTGTTCATTATTTGCTATTAAACTACAGTATAAATAATGTAAACCCATCCATGACTGTATATTAGAATGGCTATTCGGACAGGTATTGGAAGGTGACATCATTTGTTTACTCTTGAACACAGCAAAGAATCAAACATTTCTGCTACTGCTAATAATAATAATAACAATATTAATATAATAATAATAATAATAATACGATAGAATTGAAGAAGGAAATTGTACAAAAATACGAGGGTTGAAGCAGTGGTGGAGGAAGTGGTTGACGCATCGTCAGTGTGGCTTTGTTTATGCTGGAGTGAGTATTAGTCTCCATGCTCTTCCAAACATTTCACAATAATTCATTGTATTTGGTGCTTGTAGATTGAGTGTGACTGGAGTGGTTGAGGCAGTGGTAGAGGCAGTGGTAGAGGCAGTGATAGAGGCAGTGGTAGAGGCAGTGGGTGAGGCAGTGGTATTTACTAACATATATGTTATAAATAATAATAGTACATGTTAATATTAATAACATTTATAATAATAATAATAATAATAATAATAATAATAAATGTTATTCATAATGTACTATTATTATTTATAACATATATGTTAGTAAATATCACTGCCTCTATCACTGCCTCACCCACTGCCTCTACCACTGCCTTTACCACTGCTTCTACCACTGCCTCAACTGCTGCTTCACCCACTGCCTTTACCACTGCCTCTACCACTGCTGCCTCACCCACTGCCTCTATCACTGCCTCACCCACTGCCTTTACCACTGCCTCAACTGCTGCCTCACCCACTGCCTCTATCACTGCCTTTACCACTGCCTCTACCACTGCCTCAACTACTGCCTCACCCACTGCCTCTATCACTGCCTCTACCACTGCCTCACCCACTGCCTCTACCACTGCCTCTATCACTGCCTCTATCACTGCCTCAACCACTCCAGTCACACTCAATCTACAAGCACCAAATACAATGAATTATTGTGAAATGTTTGGAAGAGCACGGAGACTAATACTCACTCCAGCATAAACAAAGCCACACTGACGATGCGTCAACCACTTCCTCCACCACTGCTTCAACCCTCGTATTTTTGTACAATTTCCTTCTTCAATTATATCGTATTTATTATTATATTAATATTATTATTGTTATTATTATTATTATTAGCAGTAGCAGAAATGTTTGATTCTTTGCTGTGTTCAAGAGTAAACACATGATGTCACCTTCCAATACCTGTCCGAATAGCCATTCTAATATAGTCATGGATGGGTTGACATTATTTATACTGTAGTTTAATAGCAAATAATGAACAAACAAAACACTCACCACACAGTGGTGGGAGGGCTGGCTGCCAGTTGCAGGGGTCAGAGGGAGGGTAGTAAGGACTCGTGGCGGTAAACTTAAATATGATTTGGCAGCTGGGAATTTGGCAGTTGGGAATTCGCGAATGTGTGAAGCCCGCGAAAATTGAAAACGCGAATGTTGAGGGAGACCTGTATATGCATATTTTCTTATTACTATGCTTTTATAAATGAATTACTGCTGCATGCCAGAATATCATAATATCAAAAGTGCCTTGATGCTGGTGAAGGATTCTTGATCCAAGTAATTGGAGCTGCTCTACTCTTCCTTGGACCAAACCTGATTAACTCTGATTTCACAAGCACTGTATAACCCCTATGAGTTTATTGCTCGCCCATGAATATAATATAATGACTGGCTGAGTTTTCTTAAAGCACAAACACCACAGCCCAAGCATATGCAAATTTATATATGAAAGCAGAGGACAGTTTAATTTCTACATTTAAGAGGAGAATTAATCAGTGAATAACAAAACCCATCAAAAATGTTTATACAGTCTGTAAAAAAATCTTTGCCATGAAATGTATGAAAAAAAAAAATACAGCCGATTGTGTATCAAACAGAAAGGATTAAAAACATATCAAAAGAAAACAGTCAGATGACCAGATACTGTTGTTTTGTGTTCTCTAAGTTCCCTATTAAAGCTCATTAAACTCTGTGTGTTTTATTCATCTTTTTCCAAACAAAATCTTGGCAAATATTTTTTTGTGAAGACTGTTCTTAGTAACATTTGGCACTGTGGTATCCTTCAGATACTTACTTATAATTTTAACTTGTTTGTCTGTTTGTATGGCAGTTGGGTCCACCAGCTTCTCTTTCAGTGGAACAATCATCTCTGGGGCTCGAACTTGAGATTTTTTTGTTATAGGTGAAAATTTCTCAAAATCAGGAATTTTCTGAACAACCCGTTTGTCTTCTTTAAAATCAGGACCTAAAAATTTAAGTTATATTAATGAAAGTTGGTAACTAATTGAATTTAACTGAGACTGTAGTAAAGTAGCTAAGAAAGGTTAAAAAACTATATTGAACATACTAGTACAGAAGTGATGACTGTCTGATGTGCTAGTACAATATGTCCTCAACTTACAAACACACTGAGAATCCTCTGTATTGTGTATACATTATTATATCATTATTGTGTATATCATTATTATACAGTGGAACCTCGGTACTTGAACGCTTTGTTCTGTAAAAAAAAAAAAAAAATCCGCTTTGTAGTTGACCATTTGCTCAGCACTGAACCAAACAGACACGATCTGCCAGAACTTCGCTGTAAACTATTTTGTGTTTCTTCACACTTTTTGGTGTTCTTTTATATTATTTGTATAAGTGACCATGGGGCCTAAGATTATTGATAACAGCAGAAAAAAAAAAAAAAAAACTCTGGAACTACAGCATTACAACGATTAACTCACTCGTCTTTTCGCCAGCCTTCGTTGCCATTTCGTCCAGTTTCACACTAAGCTTGAGTGATTCAGCATTTGCTGCATCTAGGTTAACTTCAGTCCGCCGAAGCTGTCGCTGTAGCTGGAGAATACGGTCATTTAATACCACCTTCTCAAATTCAGCTGTTTGCAACTGTTGTTGAAGATCAGTAATTTGTTTCCTGAGAAAAATTCACACTATAGTACATTTTTAAGTACTTCATTTTCCACACTCAGATTTTCAGCAAAAATATTCCTGTTAAAGAATTAAGAGTAAGACGGAGAATAGGATAGCAGATGAACAAGGAGGCTTTAGGAAAGGTAGGGGGTGTGTGGACCAGGTGTTTACAGTGAAACATATAAGTGAACAGTATTTAGATAAGGCTAAAGAGGTCTTTGTGGCATTTATGGATTTGGAAAAGGCATATGACAGGGTGGATAGGGGGGCAATGTGGCAGATGTTGCAGGTGTATGGTGTAGGAGGTAGGTTACTGAAAGCAGTGAAGAGTTTTTACGAGGATAGTGAGGCTCAAGTTAGAGTATGTAGGAAAGAGGGAAATTATTTCCCAGTAAAAGTAGGCCTTAGACAAGGATGTGTGATGTCACCATGGTTGTTTAATATATTTATAGATGGGGTTGTAAGAGAAGTAAATGCGAGGGTCTTGGCAAGAGGCGTGGAGTTAAAAGATAAAGAATCACACATAAAGTGGGAGTTGTCACAGTTGCTCTTTGCTGATGACACTGTGCTCTTGGGAGATTCTGAAGAGAAGTTGCAGAGATTGGTGGATGAATTTGGTAGGGTGTGCAAAAGAAGAAAATTGAAAGTGAATACAGGAAAGAGTAAGGTTATGAGGATAACAAAAAGATTAGGTGATGAAAGATTGGATATCAGATTGGAGGGAGAGAGTATGGAGGAGGTGAATGTATTCAGATATTTGGGAGTGGACGTGTCAGCGGATGGGTCTATGAAAGATGAGGTGAATCATAGAATTGATGAGGGAAAAAGGGTGAGTGGTGCACTTAGGAGTCTGTGGAGACAAAGAACTTTGTCCTTGGAGGCAAAGAGGGGAATGTATGAGAGTATAGTTTTACCAACGCTCTTATATGGGTGTGAAGCATGGGTGATGAATGTTGCAGCGAGGAGAAGGCTGGAGGCAGTGAGATGTCATGTCTGAGAGCAATGTGTGGTGTGAATATAATGCAGAGAATTCGTAGTTTGGAAGTTAGGAGGAGGTGCGGGATTACCAAAACTGTTGTCCAGAGGGCTGAGGAAGGGTTGTTGAGGTGGTTCGGACATGTGGAGAGAATGGAGCGAAACAGAATAACTTCAAGAGTGTATCAGTCTGTAGTGGAAGGAAGGAGGGGTAGGGGTCGGCCTAGGAAAGATTGGAGGGAGGGGGTAAAGGAGGTTTTGTGTGCGAGGGGCTTGGACTTCCAGCAGCATGCGTGAGCGTGTTTGATAGGAGTGAATGGAGACAAATGGTTTTTAATACTTGACGTGCTGTTGGAGTGTGAGCAAAGTAACATTTATGAAGGGGTTCAGGGAAACCGGCAGGCCGGACTTGAGTCCTGGAGATGGGAAGTACAGTGTCTGCACTCTGAAGGAGGGGTGTTAATGTTGCAGTTTAAAAACTGTAGTGTAAAGCACCCTTCTGGCAAGACAGTGATGGAGTGAATGATGGTGAAAGTTTTTCTTTTTCGGGCCACCCTGCCTTGGTGGGAATCGGCCAGTGTGATAATAAAAATAAATTACAATTCTCAAGTTCCTGAGAGCAAGTTGTGAAAGTAGTCTGAGAAAACAGAAAGGGATGCTACTTTTCAATAAAAATTTTCATCTCAGAAGCAGCTGTAGAAAAAATAAAAAGATGAACCACTGCACTGAGATTTCTTTCTTCAATATTAGAAGTATGTAACCATAGGAAAGACAGGAATGGAATTTTACTGATTTTTTTTTTTAACCCTACTTTGCGAGTGTAATTATACATTAGTCAATCTGCTTACTTACTGACTTTTTGAATATAGACCTGTGAAGAGTGAGTTCATATCCTGTCCATCATTCACTGCTATCTGAAAAATACATATGTACATTTTAATACAGCACAGGTGGGCATAGTGTGAATGTTAACATAAATGTGTGAATAATTCATTACATTAAAATTTATTGTCTTTTACAATACAGTGGACCCCCGCATAACGATCACCTCCCAATGCCACCAACTATGTAAGTGTATTTATGTAAGTGCATTTGTACGTGTACGTTTGGGGGTCTGAAATGGACTAATCTACTTCACAATATTCCTTATGGGAACAAATTCGGTCAGTACTGGCACCTGAACATAATTCTGGAATGAAAAAATATCATTAACTGGGGGTCCACTGTACATGCTAATAGAAGAAAACAGTCAAAGCGGGATTTTGAATGTGTATGGATGTTGTGCGAATGATAAGAAAGAGATGATTGTGGATTTTATAAAGGAAAAGAAGCTGGATGTCCTGGCTTTAAGTGAATCAAAGCTGAAGAGGGTAAGAGAGTTTCAGTGGGGAGAAATAAATGGGATTAGGTCAGGGGTTTCTAACAGTTAGAGCTAAGGAAGGAGTAGCAATAATGCTGAAGGATAAGTTATGGCAGGAAAAGAGGGAATGTAAATGTATAAATTCAAGGATTATGTGGAGTAAAATAAGGGTTGGATGTGAATAGTGGGTTATAGTAAGTGTTTATGCACCTGGAGAAGAGAGAAGTGTATTGAGAGAGAGAGATTTTGGGAAATGTTGAGTGCATGGAGAGTTTTGAACCAAGTGAGAAAGTAATTTTGGTTGGGGATCTCAATGCAAAAGTGGGTAAAAATGTTGTGGAGGGAGTAGTTGGTAAATTTGGGGTGTCAGAGGTAAATGAAAATGGGGAGCCTTTAATTGAACTATGTAGAAAGGGGTTTAGTAATAAGTAATACATATTTTATGAAAAAGAGGACAAATGAGTATATATACAAGGTATGATATAGCACGTAATGAAAGTACAGCAGGGCACCGCCTTACATTCAGCTAACATGGCGATTTCAAATTATGACCAAAACTTGCTATACGGCTCTGGTCTTTCTAATACGGTGCGCCCCACCCACTTTGTTTACATTCTCCATGAGCACATCTCTCTATTATGTCTGGAAATTTTCCAAATTTCAAGTATTTTAAAGTTATTGCATATTTTAAATGTACTCTGTACATTTAAAATATGCAATAACAGGTACACATTTAAAATACTTTTAAATGTGTACCTGTACCTATATATACTTACACACTGTGCTGGCATGCAGGTACACATTAAAATCACTAAGTCTCTCTCTAGTCTCGGTGCCATATAATAATCTCTTGGGCGCATTAAATGTCGTATATTACGTTAATACAGTGGACCCCCGGTTAACGATATTTCTTCACTCCAGAAGTATGTTCAGGTGCCAGTACTGACCGAATTTGTTTCCATAAGAAATATTGTGAAGTAGATTAGTCCATTTCAGACCCCCAAACATACACATGCAAACGCACTTACATAAATACACTTACATAATTGGTCACATTCGGAGGTAATCGTTATGCGGGGGTCCACTGTATAGACATTTCCATTAATCCATCTAAGATATTTTTTTCAAAATTATATAATAAACATGCTACATTACACATAAACATGATACATACACCCACAGTATAAAAATTGACATAAATATGAGATGTGTTTATCAAGTGGTTTGTATGTGTTGGAAGAACTACGTTTTCTCTCTAGTCAAACACCAGTTACCTAACTGTAGAAAAATAGTCCTTTAGTATCACACTGCAGAGAGGGAGTATAGAAGAAGTGAATGGTATCAGATATTTGGGAGCTGACTTGTCATCGGATGGGTTTATGAAAGATGAGGTTAACCATAGAAGTGATGAAGGAAAAAAGGTGAGTGGTGTGTTGAGGTATCTGTGGAGACAAAAAAACATTACCCATGGAGGCAATGAAGGGAATGTATGAAAGGATGGTGGTACCAACACTTTTATGTGGGTGTGATGCATGGGTTGTAAATGCTGTGGCGAGGAGGCAGCTGGAGGCAGAGATGTCTTGTCTAAGGGCAATGTGTGGTGTAAATATTGTGCAGAGAATTCAAAATGTGGAAATTAGGAGGCGTGTAGCTATTAAAAGTATTAATCAGAGGCCTGAAGAAGGGTTGTTGAGGTGGTTTGGTTATTGAGAAAGAATGGAACAAAGCAGAATGACTTGGAGAGCGTATAAATCTGTACGGAAAGGAAGGTGGGGAAGGGGTCGTCCTCAAAAAGGTTGGAGGAAGGGGGGTCAAGGAGGTTTTGTGGGTGTTACAAAAACACTAGTTAGCCTTATACTAGTGCAGTAATATGAGAGTTCGGGATACTGAATAAACATAAAACAATTTATCATTTTTACTATCATATAAAAACAATCTTTGATCTAGAGGTATTCTACAATAATAAATAATCTTTAATATATTAACATCTGATCAAAATCTATTATCTTTGGTACATATATATATACATGCTACAATAATAAATTATAATTAAAATCTTTGTACAAATATTTTTTTTTTTTTTCAACAAGTCGGCCGTCTCCCACCGAGGCAGGGTGACCCAAAAAAGAAAGAAAATCCCCAAAAAGAAAATGCCTTCATCATCATTCAACACTTTCACCACACTCGCACACCATCACTGTTTTTGCAGAGGTGCTCAGAATACAACAGTCTAGAAGCATACACTTATAAAGATACACAACATATCCCTCCAAACTGCCAATATCCCAAACCCCTCCTATAAAGTGCAGGCATTGTACTTCCCATTTCCAGGACTCAAGTCCGACTATATGAAAATAACCGGTTTCCCTGAATCCTAAAATAATAAATTATAATCACTCATTACCTTACCACATAGTGTACAACGCTTCTGACACTACAGTGTCACACTCAGTCATACTACACTAGTTACACGGAGTTATACTACACTCCTTACTCAGTATTATAACACTTTCTCTACCGTGTCACATGACACTCTTGTCTGTGTTATGACGCGCTTTCTCTCCGTGTCACACAACACCCTTGTCCGTGTTGTGACGCTCCTTCTCTCAGTGTCACACGACACCCTTATCTCTGTGTCACACGACACTCCTTCTCTACCGTGTCCACATGACACCCTTGTCTCTGCGTCACACACACCATCTCTACTGTGTCCATTTGACACCCTTGTCTGTGTCACACACACCATCTCTATTGTGTCCACACGACACCCTTGTCTCTGTTAAAACACTCTTTCTCGGCTGTGTCACCCGCATAGCGTCGTTCTCTTCAGAGGACAGCCAAACACTACACTCCCTTAGGTCAGCAAAGTTCACCAAGGCCCGCAGGTCGAAGTCCGCAAAACTGGCCAGTAAAACTACAACCAGAGGCCCACAGGTAACCAAGTCCTGAGGCCCACAATAACTGAAGCCAGCAGACTAAGCGAAGCCCTCAGGTAACTGAAGTCCGCAGGAATCCGAGTGACAAGTAACTGCAGCCAGGAGACCCGCAGTTGACTGAAGTCAGCAGTGAGTCCGTAGACATCACCTTCAAATGTACTCCGTGAGGTAGTCTTGAGAATACTCTCTATAAGGCCAGTAGATGTAAACCGTAAGGTGGTCTGGTTAATACTATCTACTGCCAGCAGATGTATACCGTAAGGTGGTCTGGTAAATACTGTTTCTAAGGTCAGTAGATATACACCGTAAGGTGGTCAGGTGAATACTGCTTCTAAGACCAGTAGATATACACCCTAAGGTGGTCAAGTGAATACTGTCTACTGCCAGTAGATATACACCGTAAGGTGGTCAGGTGAATACTTTCTACCGCCAGTAGATGTATACCGTAAGATGGTCTGGTTAATACTGTTTCTAAGGCCGGCTCAACAGTCCCCACATTGGGTTTGATGACGTACCCAGTGGTACTACAGGCCGGCAGGTTAACAATCTAACCACTAGTTTGGCAGGAGGCCGCCACAGTGGGCGATGAGCTTGGATTTCCAGCAAGCATGCGTGAGCGTGTTAGATAGGAGTGAATGGAGACAAATGGTTTTTGGGACCCGATGAGCTGTTGGAGTGTGAGCAGGGTAATATTCTGTGAAGGGATTCAGGGAAACTGGTTAGCCGGAAATGGGAAGTACAATGCCTGCACTTTAAAGGAGGGTTTTGAGATATTGGCAGTTGGGAGGGCCTTCTAAACTGTTGTATCTGAGCAAAGACAGTAATTATAAATGAGTGATGGTGAAAGTGTTGAATGATGAAAGTATTTTTCTTTCTTTTTGGGTCACCCTGCCTCTGTGAGAAATGGCGGATGTGTTAAAAAAAAAAAAACATTAAATACCATCAAGCTATAAAACATCTTTCTAAAACTAAAAATATTACAATGCAATGTAAATTTAAGTGACTTATCTACCTTAGACACAGCAGCAGTAGTCTGTTGAGTTTCCAGCTCTTGACACCTCGTCATAAACTTCTCCAGCTGGGCTCTTGCACTAGCAAGTGATTCCTCTAAATGACTGAGGTGTTCTGCAGATGTTCTGTTACAACTCAAACTCAGCAATGAAGCCAACTGTAGCTGAAACCGTGAAGAAATAATGGCTTTTGAAATCGTAATGACATGATTGCAAACAAACCATGGTACGGGTGGAGATCGAACTCACAGCAGGCGAGTTGTAAAACTCCAAGCTGGCTTTGAGTTTTACAACTCACTTGTCGTGAGTTCAATCCCCACCCATACTGTGGCGTGTTTATGAAGACATTTTTACATCACTGTTGCTATACATATTGGTATTTAAATAGTAACATAATACAAGTTATTTCCCATCAAGATTGTACGGAGACTCAAAGAAGGAAACATAATCACCATCACTTATTCTCTAGCTGTCTTTCCAGGAGTGCACAGACATCACAGTTCAAATGATCTGCAGTACTGCATTAGTTGGTATTCAGTATGACCTCAGTAACCTAGGTCTGTGTCAGCATTCAGCAGGGGAGTGTTTTGATCTTTGTGTCAGTTTATTAATAGGTTAAATTCTTCTTCTGAAGCATATTTTGTACACAAGATCTTGCCTCCTCAGAATTAACCTAAGTTACATTAATTTATATCTACTGACACCATCCAAGACTTTTATCACATGTGTATTTTATTTAAATATGCAGGATATATTTTTTCAACAGGCCAGCTGTATCCCACTAAGGCAGGGTGACTTAAAAAGAAAAACAAGTGTTTTTCTATTAAAATTTAGTAATTTATACAGGACAACAGATTACTAGCTCCTTGTTTCCAGCATTTTAATCACCTCTTATGACACACAAGGCTCACAGAGGAAGAATTCTTTTCCATTTTCCCATGGAGAAAACCTCAATATACAATAATAAATTACGGCCTCTCCTCAATTAGCGCCGTACTCTTTTACCAACGCCTCAGACTTATGGCGGGCTCTCTGACCTGTATTCATACCTAAATACAGTAATGTATGTCAGAGGTGATTTCCTCTATTCTGTTTATTTCAATATATAGTACACTAATGTATAAACATTTAAAAATATACCAGAAGTGTTATAAATGGTGCAAAGGTGACATTAAAACAATATCAAAGATGGCTGACACAAACTCACTACCATTATAGTACGCTCTTTACTTAGCGACAAATTCATTTAACGACGTGGTCTTAGGAACGGAACTCCGTTGTTAAGTGAGGAGAGGCTGTATACAAGAAAATAAAGTAAGGAAGCAGAAGAGAAAAGCAAACTTTGGGAAGAATCCAAAATTATACAACTACAGATAAAATACAGAATCAGCATACCTAGATACATTATTAATCCTTTCAGGGTTTCCGACGTACTAGTACGGCTTACACACCAGGGTTTTTGATGAACTAGCATTCATAAATTCTAGCGCCTTCAAATCTAGCGAGAGAAAGCTGGTAGGCCTACATATGAAAGAATGGGTCTATGTGGTCAGTGTGCGCGGTATAAAAAAAATCCTGCAGCACAGTCCGTAATGAGAAAAAAAAAACTTTGACAGTGTTTTTGGTTTAAAACAGCGACTTTGCACTGTATTTTCATACGGTATTTATGATGGTATTCTAGTTTCCCTGGTCTCATTTTATAGAATGGAAGACATATTACAGAAATTAAGACGATTTTGATTCGTTTTACAATGAAAAGTACCTTGAAATTGAGCTCAAAGTAGCAGAAATCTTCGATTTTTACCAAGGTTCAAAAGTAAACAAATCATGCTACGCGTCCAATACATGTCAACTGGCGAGTCTAATATTCTTTTACAAGTGCGCTGATATTATTTATACCATTTCTACACTAATGCAGTAGTCTGCATAACAGTAAATCTTCTATTTTTTGCGAGAATAAAAATTCAAAGTGAAAATCAAAAGAATGTAAGAGGGGCGTGGGGACGTGACTAATGAACAGAGGAAATGTTATTTTAGTGCCAGGAATGTCTTTCTTGTTTATTCTGGACCCTATTTGGAAATTGGCATCTTTTGAAATTTGTGTGAAATTGGCAAAATTGCTAAATTCTGACCACTTTATTGGATAGTTGAAATCGGTAAATGGGTGGTTTCTTGTACTCATTCGATAGAAAAAATGGAGTTCTAGCGAAATAGTTATGATTTTTGTCGACTATTACACTGGAATTGGCCGAAAATAGGGCTCAAAGTGGGCAAAATCGCCGATGCGTAAACATCATCAAGACCGCTAACTTCGGGAGAGCATATTTTCTTAAGTTTTCCATCAAATTTCATACTTTTGGTGTCATTATGATTGGGAAAAGATTCTCTATCTTTTCATAAAGAAAAAAATTTTTTTCTTTTTTTTTTGAAAATTTGTCGACCCTGAGAACAAGTCTGGGAGAGGGCCTGTCGACCCTGAAAGGGTTAAATACAATGAGCATCCAGCAGGCTTTTGCAAGTATGTTAAATAAGAGTGAATGGAGACAAGTGATTTTGTATTGATCTGCGTTGAGGTATATGTGGAGTCAAAAAACGTTATCTATGGAGGCAAAGAAGGGAATGTATGAAAGTATAGTAGTACCAACACTCTTATATGGATGTGAAGCTTGGGTGGTAAATGCAGCAGCGAGGAGACGGTTGGAGGCAGTGGAGATGTCCTGTCTAAGGGCAATGTGTGGTGTAAATATTATGCAGAAAATTCGGAGTGTGGAAATTAGGAGAAGGTGTGGAGTTAATAAAAGCATTAGTCAGAGGGCAGAAGAGGGGTTGTTGAGGTGGTTTGGTCATTTAGAGAGAATGGATCAAAGTAGAATGACATGGAAAGCATATAAATCTATAGGGGAAGGAAAGAGGGGTAGGGGTCGTCCTCGAAAGGGTTGGAAAGAGGGGGTAAAGGAGGTTTTGTGGGCGAGGGGCTTGGACTTCCAGCAAGCGTGCATGAGTGTTAGATAGGAGTGAATGGAGACGAATGATACTTGGGACCTGACGATCTGTTGGAGTGTGAGCAGGGTAATATTTAGTGAAGGGATTCAGGGAAACCGGTTATTTTCATATAGTCGGACTTGAGTCCAGGAGGGGTTTGGGATATTGGCAGTTTGGAGGGATATGTTGTGTATCTCTATACGTATATGCTTCTAAACTGTTGTATTCTGAGCACCTCTGCAAAAGCAGTGATAATGTGTGAGTGTGGTGAAAGTGTTGAATGATGATGAAAGTATTTTCTTTTTGGGGATTTTCTTTCTTTTTTTTGGGTCACCCTGCCTCGGTGGGAGACGACCGACTTGTTGAAAAAAAAAAAAAAAAAAATTAAAGGAAATAGGTTAATTGAACTTAAGAGTCCTGTAGGTGGGAAGGGCAGCACCTACACTCTGAAGGAATGGGGATACTGCATTCGGAAGGTAACCTGAATCATGATGTCAGCACATTTCTGAATGATGGTGAATGTTTTCTTCCTTGGGTCTCCCTGCCTTGGCAGATGACTGTTAACCTAAAAAAAAATAAATATGCTATAATTATTCTTAAGAAGCTCAAAATAAATTCCTTGTGAAATTACAAACCTTCATTTTACTGATCTGTTGAGCCTTTAGGCCACACTCTTTTTTAAGTACATTGTAGTTAGCCTTGTAACGGAGCAATAGTTGCTCTAAAGCTTTTCTATTATCCTCAACTTCAGCAAAGAGAGAGTTTCCTTTTCTTGCTGGGTCTATTTCAGCCAGTCTTAGGCTTTCAATTTCCATCTTGAGTTCCTGCATGTCCTCTTTGCTTTTCTGAAAAAACAAAAAACAAAAAAACAAAAAAAAAAAAAAAAAAAAACATAGCCTATCAATATTACTATTACCAGTTTTATCATTATTATATTCATGAGAAAGTGCTAAACCTGCAGGTGTCATACAGCACCTCATATAACATTAATATTTAAAAGTATCACCTGATATTGGCAGTTTTTTCGTCGATACTGTAAAAATGGCCAATACTCACTGATACCAATGCTTTGGCACATGCCTGATAACACTGTCAAGAACTAATCACTAACCAACTTACATTTTTAAGGAATAATTACAATTAATAGAAATCTAATAATGGATTAAACTGTACAATACCTCCAGTGCATTATAGTATGATGTACACTGACATTCTTTCTCTTCTAATTCTGCTGTTAACCTTGCTACATCCTTGTCAGCCTTAGCTATTGCATGTTTATTAGTCTTGATTTGAGCATTGAGAGATGACACTTGCATCTCAAGTTCTTGCTTCTCACATGTCAGGCTCATAATTTGATTCTGTAGTAATAAAACAAAAATTTCCATTACAACATGGGTAAACAATATCTACAGAAACTTCTTGCATCTACTGGTATGCAATGAAAAATATTGCTAGCACAAAAGTGAGTCTTAAAGTGAATAATAAAGTTTCTGTAGAAAGTGTTGGTAATCAGTTTGTGAAGACTATGTGGACCTGGGAACCGCAGGCTGATCATGTAATCACCAAGAAAGTCTCGCCACAGGCCCTGCTGCTGGAGCAGAATTTCACTGGAAAGTGTGTAGTCAACTCCAAAGAACGCTAAACTTCCCTTTTCTGGTTACAAACAAGTCTTTTAGTCAACAGCATGTAAACCCACTAAAATTTATATTACTAAAGAAATTTATTTCATGGTTGACACTGTAATTAGTTTTTAATTAATAATAAAGTACAGTATATTAATGTTACTTGGTATGGTTGAACTTGATCATTTGTTGAAATATCTCAAACATTATTTATTTAAAAAATTCAACTCTTCTTCTCGACACACACACAACTAGGTGACCTCATATCTAGCTGGTTCTCTTCCCCATATGGTTCAGACAACTGAGAATGCCCTACATTCTTTCAAGACAAAAGAAGTGTGATGGGAAGTTACAACACAGGACAAGATATTAAGGGACCCAAGAGACAATAATGAGCCTGAAAATAATTTTAAATTGCAGCTTCACTCTTAAGATAATTCTCTACATTTCTCTCATTTGGTAGCAACTTCTAAATGCTCTGTTAGACACGATGATAATAACCTGCATGGTTGCTGTTGTCTCCTCAAGTGATTGCTCATGAAAGGAAAAGTTACAACTGTCAAGTCTTTCTTGAGTTTCCTTAACCTGTGACTGCAGCAGAGCTATCCGTTCATTATTCTGATTAATCTCCATCTGTTGCTGATCTATGATCTCCTCCATTTCTGATACCTACGGGAAAACCAAATTAATTTTAATATAAATAAAATTCAAAAAGCTCTGGAAGATATCAAAAATCTTTGTTAGCCACACACACACATCACACAATATCTTTTTCTATTTTTTGACAACCAGAACACTACCACTGACAAATCACCAGTCATTTACTATAAGTTAAAAAGTGGAGCCCTGAGTTGGCACTCTAACCTATTAACACTTTCAAGTGATACAAGTGCTTCTTTCATTCATTATTTTCAACTTGTTTACTCCTTTTTTATTCTTTTCCATGTATGTCTTTTTATTATACTAATTTTTACCTCATCATTTCACCAGTGAATCAGGTCTCTCCTGCAACCACTCTCCTCATTATACAAACCTCAGATGCACAGTAACACTGCATGTTTAATTCCATACAACACATTCTCTATAACCTCATTATCCCTTTCTCCTAAACTAGTGGAACCCTCTTCAAACTTTTATTATTTGTGGCAAATGAGACAGGCAAAATTAACTAGCTGTTTAGTGGTACTTCAAAAAATGTATAACAATGCTACATACATGCAGTGTGAACTAGTAGCAGGGACAATACCTTTGTCATATACTTATGAACCTCTTGTTCATGACTTTGAGCTGTTTGTGATACCAGAGACGTTATTTGATGATTCTGTTTCTCACGAAGTTGTTCTAGCTCAAGTGACAAGGAACGTTCTAGTTGCATCTTGGCCTCCAGCTTCAGAGAAATACAGTGCTTCTCCTGTTCAAGTGTCTGTTTGGATACATTGTTAATTTGTATTACTGTAGTTATTGAAGTTTCATGTACAAATAATTTGCATTACCTTATAATAATTTTTTTTTTTTTCAACAAGTCGGTCGTCTCCCACCGAGACAGGGTGACCCAGAAAAGAAAGAAAATCCCCAAAAAGAAAATACTTTCATCATCATTCAACACTTTCACCACACTCGCACATTATCACTGTTTTTGCAGAGGTGCTCAGAATACAACAGTTTAGAAGCATATACGTATAAAGATACACAACATATCCCTCCAAACTGCCAATATCCCAAACCCCTCCTTTAAAGTGCAGGCATTGTACTTCCCATTTCCAGGACTCAAGTCCGACTATATGAAAATAACCGGTTTCCCTGAATCCCTTCACTAAATATTACCCTGCTCACACTCCAACAGATCGTCAGGTCCCAAGTACCATTCGTCTCCATTCACTCCTATCTGACACACTCATGCACACTTGCTGGAAGTCCAAGCCCCTCGCCCACAAAAACCTCCTTTACCCCCTCTCTCCAACCCTTTCGAGGACGACCCCTACCTCGCCTTCCTTTCCCTATAGATTTATATGCTTTCCATGTCATTCTACTTTGATCCATTCTCTCTAAATGACCAAACCATAATAATAATCTTTATTTCTACATGTACAACCTATACAGGCCTAGCTGACATCAGTGACATACTGCAATACAGAAAGCCCCTTGTTATGCAGAGCATTTCAGGCAAATTAAGTCAATTTTGTCCCCAGTCAGCTAACACCCAAGTACCTATTTTACTGCTAGGTGAACAAGGACAGCAGGTGTCTCAAGAAAATACATCCTAATGTTTCCACCCACACTGGGGATTGAACCATGGACGTCAATGTATGAGCTGATTGTGTTAGCAATCAAGCTACGGGACACCTAGTTATTAAAATTTCATATACAGAAAAAGTGAGTAACAATGAAATCTTTAGTATGAAACAATGAACAGAATAAAATAAATAATTTTAAGGGCTGAGGAGGGGTTGTTGAGGCTGTTTGGGAATTCTGAGAGAATGGAGCAGAATAGGATGACCAAGAGAGTGAAATGGAGGGGTAGGGATTGTCTCAGGAAGGGCTGGTGAAAGTTATGAGTGCTAAAGGTCTGAGCATCCAGCAGGTTTATGTCAGTGTGTTGGAGTATGAACAATTTACATTTATGAAGGATTTAGAAAAACAAATTAGCTGGATTTCAGTTCAGAAGGTGGGAAGTACACTGTCTGCATTCTGCAGTAGTGGGAATGCTGCAGTTCAGGTCAACTGAATTATGATGGTTAATTTTTTTTTTTTTTTTTTTTTTTTGGGGGGGGGGGGGTTACCCTGCCTTGGTGGGAGATGGCTCCTGTTTTAAAAAAATTAAGCTTAGTTGCCAAAAAACCTTTTTACACAACAATTTTATTGAACTGATTACAGCCTCTCACTTAACGACAGTTCTGCTCCTAAGACCACGTCATTAACCCTTAACCCTTTGACTGTTTCAGGCCCCTTTCTGAAATTGTCATTCTGTCACTCAATTTTGGAAAAAAAAAATAAAAAAATTTTTTTCTTATGAAATGATAGAGAATCTTTTCCCGATGGTAATGACACCAAAAGTTCGAAATTTGGTCGAAAACTCATGGAATTATGCTCCCGCGAAGTTAGCGGTCTCGGCGACATATGCGTATCGGCGATTTCGTCGACTTTGAGCCCTATTTTCAGCCAATTCCATTGTTCCAGTTGACCAAACTCATAGCTATTTCTTTAGAACTCCATTTTATCTATCAGCTGAGTACAAGAAACCTCCCATTTACTAATTTGTACTACCCAATATGGTGGTCAGAAATTGCCAATTTGGCCAATTTCACACAAACTAAAAAAGACGCCAATTTCAAAATAGGGTCCAGAATAAACAAGTGGCACTAAAATAACATGCTCTGTTCATTAGTCACATCTCTAGGCCCCTCTTATATTATTATTGCTTTCTATTTTGATTTTTTATTCATACAAAAAAATACAAAATTTACTGTTATGCAGACTACTGCATTATTGTAAAAATGGTATAAATAATATCAGTGCACTAGTTAAAGAATATCAGACTCCCCAGTTGACGTGTATTGGACGTGTGGTGTGATTTATTTACTCCTGAACATTGGTAAAAATCGAACATTTCCGCTACTTTGAGCTCAGTTTCAAGGTCGTTTTCATCGTCAAAGTAATGAAAATCATCTCTATTTCTGTAATATGTTTTCCATTTTATCACCTAAGACCATGAAAACGCGAATACAACGATAAATACTATACGAAAATACACCTCGAAGTCGGCGTTTTATTCCAAAAAAACGATCAGTTTTTTTTTTCTCATTACGCAATGTGTGCTGCAGGATTTTTTTTATGTGGTGCACACTGACCACACAGACCCATTCTCTCACATGTGGGCCTACCAGCTTTCTCCCGCTTGATTTGAAGCCGCTAGAATTATTGAGTATATATACGTCAGAAACATTGGCTCGTAAGACGTATTTATACGTCGAAAACAGTCAAAGGGTTAAACTGTCCAAACGTAGATCTACGTTTTTTCAACATTTGAAAGTATGTAAAAAAACATAATCTTTTTTTTTTTTTTACATTTGAAAACGTGTAAATAAAACTTTGATGTACTTTTTTTTGTTATATTTGAAAATATGTGAACGTAAATTTGTTTGGACAGTTTAAAGGTTAAACGAATTTATCACTAAGTGAGGAGCATACTATAATGGTAGTGGGTTTATGTCGGCCATCTTTGATACTGTTTTAATGTAACTTTTGCACCAAATATGACATTTCTGGTATATTTTTTAATTTATCACTAAGTGAGGAGCATACTATAATGGTAGGGTTTATGTCGGCCATCTTTGATACTGTTTTAATGTAACTTTTGCACCAAATATGACATTTCTGGTATATTTTTTAATTTATCACTAAGTGAGGAGCATACTATAATGGTAGTGGGTTTATGTCGGCCATCTTTGATACTGTTTTAATGTCACTTTTGCACCAAATATGACATTTCTGGTATATTTTTTAATGTTTATACAGTAGTGTACTATATATTGAAATAAAAAGAGTAGAGGAAATGAGCTCTAATATACATTATTTAGGTATTAATACTGGTCAGAGAGCCCGTTGTAAGTTCAAGGCATTGGTAAACGAATACGTCGCTAAGTGAGGAGAGGCTGTATTTACAAATTACATTAATAACATGCAATGGTTCAGCTTCAGCAGTTACAGTGACCACAATACATTAACAGATGGCATAAATGTTAACAACATAACAATTTTTTATACAAAGGAAAAAAATATACATGTACAGTGGACCCCCGCTTAACGATCACCTCCAAATGCGACCAATTATGTAAGTGTATTTATGTAAGTGCGTTTGTACGTGTATGTTTGGGGGTCTGAAATGGACTAATCTACTTCACAATATTCCTTATGGGAACAAATTCGGTCAGTACTGGTACCTGAACATACTTCTGTAATGAAAAAAGATCGTTAATCGGGGGTCCACTGTATAAGCAAATCCACCTTCAACTCTTCTAAAAGGAAAAGAAGATAGGTACAATACATGTGAAATGTTTTGCTTACCAAGAGCCTTTGAAATCTATTACATAGGTAAATATAGCATAGAAAGATAAATATAATGTAGATGTTGCCAAGGTTGTAAACTGAGGAAAAGTAGAGCCAAAGGGATACTCGAGCATTTTTCTTCATAGAATAAAATGAATTAAAAGTAACAACTGCTGCAAACACCGGAAATCTTAATAAAATATATGATGAAGAAATTACTTTAACGGGACACCACAAGCATATCTCTGTTCCTGCAGCTACAAATATGCAATGTTTCACTTATAGTAGAGTTTTATTAAGTCACAACTTGGTAGAGCTCTGCCCTGAGCAATTCATCATCCCAAAAAATGCTTGTTCCTCACATTGTGTCTTATCTACACTTGTCAGCATTATGCTGACAAGTATGGGTATGTATCTGCAAAGACATCACATCCAGATCAACAACTACTATACTGACAAATAACACATTTACAGGAAAAAAAAAGCACCAACCTCCACTTTAGTTGCATATTCTTTGACTGTTTCTTCAAGTTTAACATGAAGTATCTGATTTTGTTCCAAGAGCTGCTTGCCATATGTTGCTGCCAATATAGTGTTCCTTTCAGATTCCTCCAGACGCTGCTGAAGGTTGGCCAGTTTTAAGCTCTGATTGTCGTCCATTGTGCACAGGTATCCTCTTGGTATTTTTGGCCATCAATTAGTTCTACATTTACAAATAGGTACCATTAGTTCTGTATAATAAAAATGAATGTTACAATGCATTTATTTAAATTAGTACAGTGTAGTTGTTAAATTTCTGCATGCCAAGAAATCCATACCACGGGCGAGATTTGAACCTACGGTCAGAGAGTCTCAAAACTCCAGACCGTCGCGTTAGCCACTGGACCAGCTAGCCATAATAAGATTCGTCCTAGTTGGACGAATCTTATTGTGGCTAGCTGGTCCAGTGGCTAACGCAATGGTCTGGAGTTTTGAGACTCTCTAACTGCAGGTTCAAATCCCACCCGTGGTATGGTTTGTTTGCAATCATGTCATTACGGTTTCGCGAGTCATGCCAAGCAATGCTAGTTTCCATAACTTTAACTTGAGTACTGGATCATAAAAGTGACAAATGTCTATCTGCACTTTTTACTACAGTACAGTATTTGAATAATTTAAATCACCGATCACCTTACAATTTTAACCATTTACTTAGTGCTAAATTTAATGAAGTCCCATAAAGAAAAGTTTTTTTTTTTTTTTTTTTTTGTACCTATCTGGATAGAAAAAAATATTGTTTATTAGTGTAAATTCTAGAACATCATTTTAAAAATTTAACACCAAAAATATAAAAAATATAAATATAAAAATTCCAGAAAAAAATCATTACTTAGCAAAGCTACAGTCTACCTGTTGGTTATTTGAATAATGATAGCTATACACTACAGCACTAATTAATAATAAATGTACTTATGTGTACCTGTACCTAAATAAACTTATTTACCATCTAACTTTATATTATTTTTTACACAATTCCCCTCAGCCATTTAGGGAACGTAAGCTTGCTCAAGGTTTTAAATATAATGTTTAAAATGCATAACTTAAGAAAGTTGGGCTTCTATCCAATAGGGTCTTTTTATCCTTTTCCCCAGGATGCAACCCAAGAGTCAGCAAACACTCTGGTACCTAATTACTGCTAAGTGAATAGGGGCAACAGGTTTAAGGAAACAAATTCAACGTTTCCACATGTGCCAAGATCAAACCCAGGTCCTTCAGACGTGAACCAAAAGCTCTTCTGCTTCTTGAGTTTTGAGATAAGATTTTAGAATTAGGCTGTCAGTTCACAACACACATGCATTTCTTTTCTAATAGATGTTGGTGAGGGGCTCTTGATTTAGGGAATTGGATCTGTGCTCCAGTTCCCCGAATTAAGCCTGAATGCCTTCCACATCCCCTCCAGCCGCTGTATAATCCTACGGGTTTAGCGCTTCCCCCTTATAATAAATAATAATAATAATCTTTTCTAATAGTCAAAAGGGTACACAGATAATCAGCCCTCATATTGCATATAAATTACGCACAAGGACTCCAACTGAAATAAGTCACTTTTTTTTGGGTTATCCCAGGCATTCTACGTGCTAATATGTATGATAATATATATTAATTGCATTTATGTGTATCTGTACCTGAATAAACATAATTCAAAATAAAATTAAAATTAAGTTTATTTAGGCACAGGTACACATAAGTACAATTATCATGCATGGTATAAATTACCTAGGATAACCCCCCCAAAAAAAGTCAAATGAAGTGATTTATTTCCATTTTGAATTTCAATTTGAATTAGGTTCCTTATTTCCATTATTGTCCATATATACCTTTTCCGCATGCACTGAGGTGTTATATCTCCCCTGGATCGAGTGGCAAGTGAAATACATAGTATTAATAAAAACAAAACAAAAAAACAATTGGGTAAGTAATAAGGTTTCATTTAGGTTCCTTATCAATTTTGAGTCTCCTGACCCAGCCAAAATTCTTTCAAAAGAAACGGTTGGTGAGGGGCTCTTGATTTAGGGAATTGGATCTGTGCTCCAGTTCCCCAAATTAAGCCTGGATGCCTTCCACATCCCCCCCCCCCAGGTGCTGTATAATCATCCGGGTTTAGCGCTTCCCCTTTGATTATAATAATAACAATATTAATTTCAAAAGAAACGCGTAAAATTACTTACAGTCCATAAAAACTTAGCTACTACATACCCAGCTGACTTTTTGTGAATGTGGACAATTTACTCTGAGCGTGAAATGAAAAAACATGGAATATTAAGAGCGGTATCACAATAAATAGGAAGACACGAGACACTTGTTGTTTTGTTACTGTTTGAAATCTCCTGCGCTGGGAGTGACACCTTATTAATTTGAAATATAAGTAAAATAAAATAAAATATAATATATAAATATAATAAAATAAAAAGTAAGATTATTTACACTCATTACACAAGTTTAATCTTTTACAATAAACGTAAGTAGTAACTTGTGTGTAAATGAACAGCCTTGGACAACCCATTCAAGTCTGACTGATTTACTTCAGTTTTGTCATTATATCTGGTGTAAACAAGATAATGACTGCAATATTATATGGAGCTTTACCTATTTATTTACTTACTTACTTATACTTGTAATAATGTTGGTAGAATTACCAACAATAAGTTAAGTACACTGCAACCCGTGCAACTAATGTGTCCATGGCTTCATATTAAGAAGTATAAATAATAGAAGTCCTCAGGTTGTTCTTCAACTCTATATATCCTTAGTTAGGCCTTATTTAGATTATGCTGCACAGTTCTGGTCACCGTATTACAGAATGGATATAAATGCACTGGAAAACGTACAGAGGAGGATGACAAAGTTGATCCCATGTATCAGAAATCTTCCTATGATAGACTGAGGCCCTGAATCTGCACTCTCCAGAAAGGCGTAGAATTAGGGGGGATATGATTGAGGTGTATAAATGGAAAACAGGAATAAATAAAGGGGATGTAAATAGCGTGCTGAAAATATCTAGCTTAGGCAGGACTCGCAGCAATGGTTTTAAGAACATAAGAACATAAGAACGAAGGAACACTGCAGAAGGCCTACTGGCCCATGCGAGGCAGGTCCAAGTCTCCTACCGGCTTAAGCCAATGCACCCAACCTAGTCAGGTCAGGTCACATTGACTTAAGGGAGGAACACGGCAACCGACCTGGTAGCACAAGCTATCAGGTCTAACTCACACCCACCCACATCTACTCATGTATTTATCCAACCTATTTTTAAAGCTACACAACGTTCTGGCCTCTATAACGGTACTTGGGAGTTTGTTCCACTCATCCACAACTCTATTACCAAACCAGTACTTTCCTATATCCTTCCTGAATCTGAATTTTTCCAACTTAAAACCATTGCTGTCTAGGCTAGATATTTTCAGCACACTATTTACATCCCCTTTATTTATTCCTGTGGTCTGGTGGCTAAAGCTCCCGCTTCACACACGGAGGGCCCGGGTTCGATTCCCGGCGGGTGGAAATTCCGACACGTTTCCTTACACCTATTGTCCTGTTCACCTAGCAGCAAATAGGTACCTGGGTGTTAGTCGACTGGTGTGGGTCGCATCCTGGGGGACAAGATTAAGGACCCCAATGGAAATAAGTTAGACAGTCCTCGATGACGAACTGACTTTCTTGGGTTATCCTGGGTGGCTAACCCTCCGGGGTTAAAAATCCGAACGAAATCTTATCTTATCTTATCTCTTACCTCAATCATATCCCCCCTAATTCTACGTCTTTCTAGAGAGTGCAGTTTCAGGGCCCTTAGTCTATCCTCATAGGGAAGGTTTCTGATACATGGGATCAACTTTGTCATCCTCCTTTGTACATTTTCCAGAGAATTTATATCCATTCTGTAATACGGTGACCAAAACTGTGCAGCATAATCTAAATGAGGCCTAACCAAGGATGTATAGAGTTGAAGAACAACCTGAGGACTCCTATTATTTATGCTTCTTGATATGAAGCCAAGGATTCTATTAGCTTTATTGCGAACACTTATGCACTGTTGTCTTGGTTTCAGATTACTGCTAACCAGAACTCCTAAATCTTTTTCGCAATCCGTAATATTAAGATCTACATTATTTAGTTTATATGTGGCATGGTTATTGTCCTGTCCAACATTTAGAACTTTGCATTTGTCTATATTAAACTGCATCTGCCACTTCTCCGACCACTGCATCAGTCTATTCAAATCTTCCTGGAGTGTTCGAATGTCCTCGTCAGAATGAATTCGACGGCCTATTTTGGTGTCATCGGGAAACTTGCCGATGTCGCTCTTTATGCCCTCATCTATGTCGTTTATGTAGTTTGTGAACAGCAGGGGGCCCAACACTGACCCCTGAGGAACACCGCTCGTGACGCTTCCCCACTCTGATTTCTCCCCATTTATGCAAACTCTCTGCTGCCTATTTGTCAACCATGCCTCTATCCAGGAAAAAATTTCTCCTCCTATTCCATGTGCTTTAATTTTCCTCAATAGTCTCTGATGTGGGACCCTGTCAAAAGCCTTACTGAAGTCCATATACACAATATCATATTCATTACCATGATCTACCTCCTCAAATACCTTAGTGAAAAAAAATTCGTAAGGCAGGAACGCCCCTTTGTAAAACCATGCTGAGATTCGTTGATTAATTTATGCTTTTCAAGGTGGCTACGAACTGCCTCGGCAATTATTGATTCCATAAATTTTCCCACTATGGAGGTTAGGCTTATTGGTCTATAGTTCGAAGCTAAGGACCTGTCACCTGTTTTGAAAATAGGTATCACATTTGCCATTTTCCACTTATCTGGCACCATGCCAGTTTGTAGTGATATGTTGAAAAGATTAGCCAAAGGTGTGCTAAGCTCCTCTTTACATTCCTTTAGAACCCTTGCATACAGTTCATCAGGGCCTGGGGATTTGTTAGGTTTTAATTTATCTATTTGCCTAAGGACCATGTCACTTGTGACCCTAATAGTGCACAGTTTATTATCGTCCTGTTCTACATAATTTATCATTACTGGAATATCGCTGGTATCCTCCTGTGTAAAAACTGAGAGGAAGTATGTGTTAAAAATTCTACACATTTCCTTATCACTGTCAGTGAGCTGACCCGAGGAACTTTTGAGTGGGCCTATCTTGTCCCTGAACTTACTTCTGTATACCTGAAAGAATCCTTTTGGGTTAGTCTTCGATTCTCTTGCAACTTTAACTCATAATCTCTTTTTGCTTTTCTAATTCCCTTTTTTATTTCTCTCTTTAACTGAATATATCGATTTCTCAATTGCCCCTCTCCTCTTTGATTTGCCTATATATGCCTCTCTTTTGACCAATCAGATATTTTAATCTATTGTTCATCCATTTAGGATCATTTTTGTTTGATCTGATTTCCCTATTTGGAACATAATTTGACTGAGCAGCTAGAACTATGCCCTGGAAAGCATCATATCGGCAACCATCACCACCTACCTGACCCTTAGTCAGGTCATTCCAGTTCAGCCCACCTAAGTAATTTTTCAGTCCTATGAAATCAGCCAAGCGAAAGTCAGGGACGGAGACTTGATTGCCATTATTAGGGGAATTCCATGATATATTAATAAAACTGAGTGATTTGTGATCACTTTCCCCAAGCTCATCATTAACCTCAAGATTATTAATTAGTGTTTCCCTACTGGCAAGAACCAAGTCAAGGAGGTTATTTCCCCTAGTTGGCTCTGTCACAAACTGTTTTAAAAAACAATCCTGGATCGTATCAAGAAAGTCACCTGACTCTAAATTTCCTGTCAAATTGCTCCAGTCAATCTGTCTATAGTTGAAATCTCCCATTAGCACAACATTTTCGTATGTAGATGCCTTACGAATTTCGTCCCATAGAAGTTTACTGCACTCCCTATCAAGATTTGGGGCCCTGTAAATCACACCCAAAATTAGTTTTTCTCGGCCCTCGAGAAGCTGTAACCAAACAGATTCAGTGGCTGACGCTTCTAATTTAATATCTTGTCTAACACAACAATTTAAATTGTCTCTGACATACATCGCTACTCCACCACCTTTCCTGTTGACCCTGTCAGTGACGACTGACCACTGAAGGCATCGTCTAATTACGAAAAGATGTAATTGGAGGTGACAATCGGCAAAAAAGTGAGAGTACTCAGCTAGGCAAGTACGTTTTGGTCAGTCGTCAGTGGTCAGGCGTCAGTCGTCAGTGGTCAGTCGTCACGTGAGGTCACAGACCCTGAGCTGCTTTGGGGATTAGTGTGGACGGTTACAAAGCATGGCTTGCTTCTGCAGTGTTTTAAAAATTGAGGTTGGAGAGTTGAAGGAGGAGGTCTTGCTTCTCCAGGAGGAGGTCTTGCTTCTCCAGGAGGAGATTAGGAGGCTTAAGGTCCACCTCAATGGGTCTGGGAGAGAGTTGAGGTGGCGGGTTTTGTGGGGAATGAGGCTTCAAGTGAGTGCAGTCTTCTCTCGCTTGGGGGGCCGTATTTGGGGGAGGTAGAAACGCTACAGCAGTGGGTCGTCCACCCCTGCTCAAGTGGCGAGGGGTTCACAGTAATGGAAGGCGCATCAAGAAAGGAAATTAAGATGAAGATCTAAAAGGTAGGAAAATCGCTTCTCTGTTTTCGGATGAATGTACTTCAGGGGCCCATAAAGGAAAGGGGTACTACTGCCCCGCTAATGGGGGTAAGCGCTTTTTGGGTTGGTGACTCTGGGAAGATATATTGCCCGTGTTTTTTTTAAATAGAATAGAAGATGAGAGATAAGTGGCCCCCTGGAGCTTTTTTGGGGGACATTGTAAAACAGGCGGGATAATATCATGTCAGGTAAGGGAAACAAGCCCATTATCTGTCTCGTGCGGGTGGAAATGTATTGGGAAGGTAAAAGGGAAGAGTGCTAGAAAATACAGTCAGCTATGATTTTTTAAGTCTAAGGGAGGGATCCCAATCATTTAGCATTTTCCCTAGAAGGGATAAAAGAATGGTTTTCTAGGGCATTTGGGGTAAAATGCTGGTAGACGATACTGCAAGGCTTTTCAAACCCCTTATTACAATGGGAAAAACTTTTATGGCAAACATATTTAAAGGGGTGGGGTACACTCTCGGGGTGGGTGGGAGCCCCCTTGGCTCGATTTAGAAGGCCCTTGGTGAAATGCCCATGATTTTAAACTGATGGAAAATAAGGGGATGGTTTGTGTGGGGAAAAAAAGGTTGAACACTTGGTTGGAAAAATAAATTAAAAAGGCATTCAGCATGAAGTTATAAATAAAGAAAATAGATCAGGTCAGCAAACAAAGGGGGGCAGAGAGGGCAGCAAGGACTACCCCCTTAA